CGTCTATTTTCTGTTACGCATTGCAGAGGGAACAACTTAAAGGCAGTGGTTCCCGAGATGTGATAGGGGAAGTCAACAGGCGCATGGAACAACTCGATGTTCAGTCACAAAACAAACATCCTCGTGGGGAAGTGAACAGTTCAACAGATCTGTCAGGTTACCCGGATGAGGAAGAATGGGACTAAGTCGAATTTTTTTAGCGACCGGAATCCAGATGGATATTTACTGTTTGTTGCCGTGCATTAAGAAAAAAAGACAACCTAATGTTTGTTTCTGTTTTTTGAAGTATTCGTTGAAGATGTAATGAGTTTGTTGGGTTTTTTTCTTCTTCAATGCCGGGGAACTGGACACGCTTGGTCGACCGAATCTGATTAACTTCAAGGGGCACCACGCCCATACTACCCCTCGTGTAATCTCACGAACAAGGTCGTCGTGTAATCAGACGTTGTTTGATTGATTATCGTGTACAAGCTGTTGTCCCGTAGAAAATGCATTCCTGGCATTCTTGTAATCTGTTTTTCATTGCGAGGTTGTATCGTATCTGACGTTTCTATGGTTACCTTTTCTTACGATTATTATTGTTATTGTTGCGTTTTCTATTGATGTAAATTCACAAATGAATCATTGCAGTTTAAATTGTGTAAGTTATCTGATTTTTTACTTCATGATGCATGTCTAGTTTTATTATTATTATTATTATTACTATTATTACAACCATTGTTATTATTAATACGATTATTATTATTATTATTATTATCATTATTATTATTATTTTGAAAGTGTGTCCTTATGGTATTCACAGGGTGAGTGAGATCTTAATGCAATTCATTGTTTAGGTACATACTAGAGGGATAGACTTGTCTTACCTCACTGCCATGGTAGCGTTATTCCTCCTCTCAGTACTACTTGAAAAAACTCAATCTCCGTCAAATGAATTCCATAAGATAAGCTGACTTCTTAAAGGAGCTACGTCACTACTTACGCACGCGCAGTAAGAATTGAGAAACCAGTGACGCCAGATATAATAAAGTTCACAAGGCAACCAGTCAAGGGAGCGTGGGCGGAGTTGATATGCCATATGCGGAGTTGATATGGTTGGAAGCTTGGCATATCAACTTCGCCCGCGCTCCTCTAAATTGTGATGATGTCTATTTACACCTCGGCAGCCATTGCCGTCGAGTTTCATAAAATCTGTTTAATCCTGGGATGTTGCTAACCCCGCGAAATTCCGAGATTTAACTCTTTCTCAAGGGTATTGTTGTTTTGGAGTGAATATCTTAATGATATGTCGATTCTTCGTCTTTACGTCTCCAAACCTACGCTTCGTGGTGCAAGCTCGAAAGACCTCGAGAGCCTGAAAGTGAATTTTAGATGCCTGAGTTATAGGAAGAAGAAATTCTGTATTGAACCTACTTTACTTTACAAATTTTATTGATTCAAGGATGTGTTGGCCAGTTTAAGGAGTCTTCAAAGCCGCTCGCGGCGAGCTACGACAAAACGCCGACATCCAGTCTGCTGACCTCTTGAGGTGATTCCTCAGTATCGCGCTGCGCATCCAATACTGCGCACTAAACATGGTATTGTTTTTCAATCAATGGACGAGGTGAACAGGTACCCTGGTCTTTTGTTCTTGAACGAGTATGGCGACCTATATTTTTTATGGCATAATTTTGGTGTAAAAATTATCCCCTTTAGATTTAAATAAATTTAAGAGAGAATTTAAGGAGAAATTTTAAAAAAATCATGTGATGGAAGAAAAGATAAAGCTGGAAGCGTGCACAAAGCTCGTTGCTCTAAGGCCCAAATTATGGTATGGACTCTAGAAACGTTTTGAGTTGATGTCATTTAAACGCGTTACTTTTTCATAATTTATATATTGCATTGTTCTATTCGCCCGACTAATTAAGTACTTTTAAAGTACCTATCAACCGCAAAATGTACCGTGAATCGATGAAATGACGCACGTAATTCGTATTAGTACTGGCATAAATAGGGTGAGATTGGCCCATCATATTTCTCAAACAACACAGTGACCTATCTTTTCCATTTTAGTTTTCGAGGCAGACATTGCTGAGCAACAATTAACGAAAATTAAAATTGTTCTTCCTGAGGAATCACCGCAATGACTCCCCTTTCCCATCCCCTCGAAGACTCACAAGATATTAATAACATAAACACATAACCTTGATACCTTACCTTAGCCCCAGACTTTTTACCAAAGATCAAAACGGTAGACGCCTGTTGAACAAATGCGTAACCTGGGCACTACTAAGTTACCAAACAACTTCCGGAATTTGCATTAATGTTTGTTTAAATGTGCTACACAATCGCCAGGAAAGCATTATGTTCAAATTCCGTGGAAGCTGATGACAAAGTTGTTACTGTATCGGTGCATTTGCCACTCGTATATCAGAAAAGAGCAGTAATACAACTACTACTACTCTTTTGATCGTTCGAATCTCGTGCCTTTTTTCTCTGATTGGCTGAGAGAGCTCTTCCCCACAAAAACTCGTTCCCAGACTCCTTTCTCCTCTTTCCTCATGAAGATACTTTGTTTGTTTGTTTGTTTGTCTTTTTTTACGCATAAATGTTTGCATCTTGCAATCGTGATGTAAAACAGATTCTGAAGTGTTAGATTAAGTCGGTCCGAAATTTAGTTTTAGTGATTTAAGTGATTCTTCTAATACAGTCGAAAGTTAAATATATGGAAGTGTACGTTAGGCCAATAACTTACGCTGAGGACAATATGGATTGAGAGTTGGCGAGGATGAATCGGAAATTGTAAAGCGTTTTCCACTGGGGTCTTCCTTGCGAAGTTATGTGGACTTTCGATATCACTTTACATGATCAAACAGAAATGCTGGATTACGTCGCCAAAATATGCTTCTACACGGCGTATTCGCTGGGAGCTTTACTTTTAGGTATGCGACCATAGATGAACATCGATCCTATCAACTGCCATTCCTTCCTTTCAAGTAACCCGACAACGATGGAACTCTACATAGGGCGTGGAGTCTGTAAGAAGCCTTCGTTTATTTACTGGAACGCCAAAATGGTTTCGTACTTCGGATGAATGAATTGGGAAGACTTTGTCCAGCCACTTTAATGGATCTAACGGAGTGAGGATGCGATGAACATTCTGCAAAGGGACAATTAGATTACGGGGCCAGCAGAAATGAGTTTTGTTTGATCCAAAAGGTGACTGAGCCTTGTCTAGTTGTTTACGAGGTTCAATTTTTACGGCTTCGTTGTCACTGCCTTTCAGTGTTTAGGAAAGTAGCTTTACTCTTATCCGCACGTCGTTCTAATTTTCGCTCCATATTTTTCTCTTGGCATCTTTCTGAAGGGAGACAGCTCCAAGAAATTCCTATTTATAAAGTTAGGGCATTAAGTAAGAGATAAATACCGAGAACGGAGGTATTAATCCATATACATCCCGAGGGCTGTAGGCCCGAGGGATGTATATGGATTAATACCGACGTTCGAGGTATTTATCTGACTTATTTCATGAAATTATTCATGAAGGATCTTTATATAGCGATCCTTTGTTCCTTTGTTATTTGTATAAATCCCTGAAACGAGGGATTTATACAGATAAATCCCTCATTTACAATGCAATTCAATTCATTAGCCCCGCTCTTCCCTGCTACATTATCAAGCCCTCCCCGGACTTTCAGTTAGTTTAATATTCATGAAGTATGTAAGTTAAATAAAGGATGTTGAATAACAAAAGAAAATGTGTGATTCATGAAATAATTAATTATATGATTTTTCTCAGAGTCCTCCAAAGCTTCCCGTGCGCGAGCGATCGAAGGTTTCCTCGGGCTGTATGACGGAAAACTCGTCAGAAATGGTTTCCATGGATTTCCTCTCAAAACAAAATCATTTGCTTCAGCTATCGGTGCGGTCAGTATCGAGATTCGGAGCTTTGGGAATTTTGGACCGTTTCACAATCTGATTTGACAAAAACGTGCAAAAACCAAACCAAAAAAAATTAAATACTCTAAGAACCGAAACACAAAACAAAACAAAACAAACTTCATTTGAGAGAAAACCGCGGGTGAAACGCGATGGCCTCGTGGCTTCACCCTCAAGAGAAAAGCGACCAAAATCGTCTTCCACCACTGCAACAGAAATCAAGAATACCAGCCAGAGTGCCTCAACTGAGCAGCGACAGTGATAGGGGTTCTTCATCAGTGGACGACGCCGATAAAAAAGTGCATCTGCAAAAGGATTCAGGCAACAAAGTTCAAAACAGGCGATCGTCGCGGATTCCGATTACAACCGATGAGAGGAGGAGTAAAGTTCATACTAAAGTTAATCTACCAAAGACTGTCAAAACAGCTCGTAAAGGAAAACCCACTGGAGGAGCTCCAGGTATGTTTTTCAGCAGTCAGCCACATTTTTTTTTTCATCCAAGTACTACTCGAAGATTGAGAAGATCTTAAAGAACAGTTATAAGTGAACGGCTGGAACTGTTGCTAAATCGATGTAAATCGTAGGTGAAAAATTAACAGTTAAGATAAGTTGTGCTAAATTTTGGCAGAACCTCGTAAAACAGAGCGAAAAAAGGCATTATTACAATATTCTTTCTAGTAACTTTAAATTTATTCATTCTAGAAAAGAGTGTTACTTCTGATCACTATTTATCATCATATTTCGATTCATCTATCTATCTATTTAGCGTTTTATTTTCATGTACATCCTTTTATTTCTATTGGTTTATTTATTCCCACTGCGGTCTCCTCAATCAATCTTCTCCAAGTCTTAGAGATTTTGTTCTGAAAAATAAAAAAGCAGGAGAGAGGCCGCTTTAGGCTGTTACCTTAATTAACCGTCTCTTTGATTTCAAGCCACTTATTAAATTGATGCTCGTTTCCACGAAGAAGGGGCAGATTCCTGCAGTTACAGCTTCACGACATCCTCTAAGCGAACAATGTATGTTAGTGCTTAATACCTCTTAGGGGGAAGTTAATTTCAAACTCGATTTGATCACAGACATGAACCTACGAGAAACTCAAGAGAAAAAACAAAAGGAGAAAGCAAACGCCATTCCTTCAACCGACTCAGCTAAATATGTCAGTTACTACTGGCGTGCTAAAGAGACGCCGCCAAACGTTAGGCGACGACTACCGCGACAACTTACGCCCATCAAGACCGAGTCGAAACAGGTGAATCTCAATAAGATCGATTAATTGAAACGAGATTGCGCGAAAAATGTTTCATGAGCAAATATCATGAGTAAAGTCTCTCATGATGATAACTGTCTCATCTGGAGGACCTAGAACTTAAAATCGTGATTGTCTACTGTTTCCCATTTTTATGTGAATCCGAAAGATTAGGTTTCTGAGAAGAAAAGCGCTGAGGCGTAAGCAGTATCGAGCATCCTAATTACCGGTTGTCACTATCTGTTAATATTCAGAAATTCAACAGCTGCAACAAAAACAAAGCTTTTTTTGAATTAGCAGGTCTGCAACGATGAGAAAGAACTACGAGAAGAAAGCTCGGCTAGCGAGGTATCATCTGCAGCCAGAGAAGAAGTCACGCCAGATTTTGAATGTAATGTTGTACCTGTGTATGAGCAGGAGCTCGGTATAAGGACCGAGGCAGATTTCAGTGGCAGTGAGTTTGGCGACGACTTTAAACGTCTCTCGATATCTAGCGACGAGAAAGCAATGCCTCATGTCCCCCCGTGGCTGAGAGAGGACTACAAGTTAGTAGTCAGTCGTAACCTTTGCTTTCAGTGAACTCCTTTTTGTGAATTTCACTTCTGAGACAATTTAGTGACAGTCTATGCTTTCTAGTATTCAAAACTTTCTCCATTCAGTGACACATCGAGTAAATTATATCTGATGCGTGTTAAAGTTTGTCCAAAAACCTTTGTTCTAACAAACTCAGGGCCAGCGGTTTACCTGCTTCAGTCCCCGCGCCCGTATGTATATATTTAAATTTTCGCGCGAAAAAGAACACTATGTTATTCAGTCTGTCGTCCTTTCATCGTTTCTTTATGGCATTTCGTGTACTCCCTTTATCCAAACCATCAGGTACGTTTTGCGTTTTCTTTGCCGTTGATGTTTCGCTTTGTAATCGTAGTTATTGTTGTCGGTTGTTGGTTGTGGTGCAATTTAAGTTAATCATGTTTCAGAAACCACTGGTTCCAAATAAATTGTATGGTACGAGTAACTGTCTGGAAATTTACCAGTGCGTTCGCTACAACCTTCTTGGTGACAGGCGTCATTAAATTTCTTCATTCCTTGTAAATAACGCGAATACTGGATTATCCGAAGTTTCTATCACTTAGGATACCAAAAATCGGCACATGTAGTTATCTTGCGTTATCTAGCGTTATCTTGCGTTATCTAGCGTTATCTTGTTTCAGTCAACAAAACGGTCCCAGAGTTTTCTATTCGTAAGGACGTTTCTCAGTTTTGGATTACTAGCAGTGGTAATTTTCGAAGTTCCCGATTATTTGAAGATGTGTATAAAATAAAGTGACGAGAAAGTTTCCCAGTAGGAGTTAAGCACTAGCGACTTTTATGTGCATGTCGTTGATCAATATGAATTGATTTTATGCAGGGAGAAAGAAAAAACAAGTGATCACATAAACTTCGTTAAAAGCGATGCTACCGTCACGAGCTCGGCACAAAATATCCAACTAAAAACAGAGAAAAAAATGGACGAAAATGACATTAGTGAGGAAGAGTTGGACTGTACCTCTTTCACTGAGTCCCGCGGATACAAAAGGAAAATGGCTGAGCTGGACGAAAAATCCAGACGGCTCAAGGCACAGTTTGCGGAGGAAAACAGACAGACTATTGAATCTATGAACGAGATCGTAGAGGAGATCAAACAGAGCCAGGCAAGAGAAGATGGCATCACAAATGAGATTGAGGAGATGAGAAGGAGACAGGATGAAATAAAGGACGACCTTAAAAGCCTTGATGAGATGGCCCAGAGACGAGAGCTCGAGGACAAAAAATGGAAAGAAAAGATGGACAAGAAGAAAAAGAAAGTCGCACGCAAACTGGAAAAGATAAGAGCCGAACGACGTAAATACCAAGAAGAGACAGGTGATGAAAACGAATCAACAGAGGAACACGATCAACCGGATGAGAATCAAATGAAAGTCCAAAGGGTGAGAGCTGCAAACGTGTCACCAAGGCAAACGAAACCGTTGTAAACGAAGACATTGGTGACAAATTGTTCTATGAGCCTCGAGGGATCATAGAGTACAAAAGCGTAAAGGAGCTGGAAAAGAAGCGGAAAGAACTAAAGCGGTTGGAAATACTGTAAAATAAGGCAATTAAAAGGGAAAAGGTTGAACAACGAGAAAGGTAGAGGATCGAAAAACAGAAGCGAAAAATTGCGCGCAAACTTGAGAAACCCTCAGCTAAGAATTCAACAGTTTCGAAAGAAACTGAAGAAGTTACGATGTGTTTTGTAAATCGGCACATGGAGGCTACGAAAACTAAGGAAAAAAAAGAACTTCGATGAGACCCCAACAGTGAGTAGAACGCACAGAGTCCGAGCATTCCCTAGCCGCATACGCTCCTGGAATGCCCACCAATGCAGCGGTGGTTGAAAAATTAAAAGAAACGTTGGCTAAGGTTGAAAACAAAAGGATATAGCTTCACATTCAGGTGCTTCCACTAAAGTAGGATGAGGAGAGGAGTCCTACAGAGACTCTGCAAAAGAAAACAGAATACATGTGACCATTCTGACGGACAGAGAAAGAAGGCTGATAGCAATATTGGAACTGAAACAGTTGCCTTGGAGAGAGAAGAACAATTTACCTGTAAAGCAATTTAAGACTTCGAGCAAGAAGGCAACAGTAAAATTTGAGAGGAACCTGAAGATAGAAACATCCCTTCGAACAACTCTGCACCAGAAAGCGACTGCAATGGTGATGATAAGCCCTGCTCTTTCAGCAGCTTGAGCCCAGTCACCGATCAGACATCTCCCCTGACACGAAAGACATCTGACAAATTAGCTCAGTTCGGCCTGCAGCCGTTGCATAGCTCCCCTGAAGTGGCAGATCTCAATCCAATATTGGAAGATACGAACTCCATAGTCGAAGAATCAGTAGACAGCGAACACAGTGACATTAACTATAGCAAAGAGGAGGAATCTCAACAAAACGACAACAGATCAACTGAAAACGAAAAAAAACTGGCGAGGATCAATCTCAGTTAATGAGCGAAAGAAGCCATTGCCAGAGCGTTGATACACCAAATCAAGGGATCAGCTCAGTCACTGACCAAACTGCTTCCCTGACACGAAAGGTGTCTGAAAGGTTCACACCGTTCAGTCTGCAACCTTTGTACCGCTCACCTGAAGGAGCAGGGGAAAGTCCAATGTTGCAAGACACAGAATACTCAGTTGACGAATCAGTAGGTGGCGAAAGCAGCAAACAAAATTGTTACCACGAAGAGATGCCTCAACAACTCGAAATCAGGCCAGCTGAAAAAGAAGTTCAATTATATAATCAAGCCAACGACACCTTCTGCGGCGACGTTCGAAAAGGAATTGAGGAAGCACTTTCAAAATCAAGTGTACCTTTTACGGCAATAAACCGAGGTCAGAATGAGATACACAGTGAAGATGATCAAAAAACAAAAAATCTACATAACATTCAAGAAAAAGGCAATGATCAAGAAACTGAGCCAATAAATCAATCATTTGAATATTTTGAATGAATATTTTCACGTGTGTAATTCATTTTTGACTCGTGTATACGCGATAGGTTACGCGAAGAACCGTTGACTTAATACGGAATAGTTTGGGAAACGAAATATGGTCGATTTACAACGCTAAATATTCCGAAATGAGAACATTTTACGCTCCTTGTGTGTCCGTTGCGCTTTCTGGTGATTTCTGCCATGAGACGGCTAGGAAATGTAAAAAGTTTTAAAACATGTTTCGCTTTTGAGCTTTTTGCCATGAACGCGATCCTGGCTTAGCGGGTTACCCCACCTTGAGACGTTTACGTGGCAAATTGTCACCCCGGCTGACAGGGTTACCCTAGCTGGCAGACCGGGCAACCCGCCTAGGCGGGTTACCTCACCGCCCTGGGGTCCCCCACCTCCATGTAAACAGGCCTTTACAAAGCAGAACGTGACCAAAACACTTTGTGATCTTCTACTTTACCGCCCAGCTCTCTCCACCCCGGCCATAGACAGTTTTGTCTTCACCATTTCCGTACGGCTAAGCTTTTCTCAGATTGTCTTACTTACTTCGTCATAAAATGGACAGATTGTTCTCAACACGGAGATATAATCATCCATGAGCTGAAACGAAAAACATACAGGACTTTTTGGCATACTGAGCAAATCGATAGCTGAAAGAAACCATGACGCTCTGACAGCCCGAGACAACAAATCACAATAACAACGGCCGTGCACTCGACTCATGTTTTGATAAATGCGATGCACATATATCGAGGTTAACCGTAATCTTTTTTTCTCCGAAAATAAAAATATCGCTCATACCACAAATGTGATAATGATAGCATGTGTGTTCTCAACCACCCCAAACAAGTCATCGCTGCTCGACTTTAAGTTGTGATTTCTCCCACACAATTCAAACTACTCTTGACGCGAAGCTCTTTCAGCAGTAAGATTTCTCGTATCCATTACTGTCGTCAATCGGCGGACGTCTGTTTATTTTTATGTTCCTTATTTGACAATCTGGCTATGTCACACTGTGTTCCTACTAAACGGATGTGGTTCCGCACTAAGATCTTAGTTTCATAGGATACAGCAGGCGGCATACTTTCCTTAAATGGCAAAATTAGTAAAATTAAGTAAACGTTGCAGAGGCATCCGCAACGGTCGAAAGACAAGCTAGTGTTTCTACACCAAATTTCTCTCTGGGTATTTTCCCTTATTTTAAAACCTTGCTCTGTTTCCCTCGTTTTTCTTTGGGGTACGCGGGACTGTTTCGGGCCATTTTCCGCAACCGACACTGAAGGTTTGGACTACACAAGCTGGCGGTTTTCCTGCGGTAGAGGTGTAAAAGTGAGAAGAAAACCTTAAAAAGGAGCTAAGAAACCTATTTCTTATATTTTTCCTTCGCACATCTCTTGCCGCTCTGTTCGGTTATGCTGCTCAAAACTCCTAAACAGAATCAACCATGATCGCAACGGATTTGAGGACGGTAATAGTGTGGGGTTCGGGTCACGTGTTTCGGAGTCTGCTGACAGAGACCCTAAGACCATCATCCGCCCCTCAGCGTTTGAGCAATTGAGAGTTGCAAAAAAACTGCATTCTGGCCTGAAATAATTTTATAGTTTTCTAACATAACTGTATGAACTGTATAACTGTATAACTGTATGGTGTTGTGTGTGCCTCAGTCGAAATGATTAAATAACTTTTTACAAATCCTTTTCATACCTGGAGCATACTTCTTCATCAAAAATATCAGAAGTAAAACGTGCAACTTTAAAATAAAAATAAAAAATAGTAGCAAATACTGAAGGGAGATTTTTATTACTATTTGCATTAAGTACAAAACGAAATTTACTGAGAACATCGATAACTATGCTCATGATCACGATTCTTGACCACACAGTCATCACTGATTTTGCGTATCACCTGTTCGATATCACTAGTATCATCTCTAGCATCATCGTAGTTGTATAAAAGGTAAGCTTCCCTAAGGCACAAAAACATAAAAAGGATAACAGAATGAAACAAATAATTATCGTCCAATTCCCAACCCTTCTCAAGTTAAATAATCATAACGGATTTAAGACCACAAAAAGAAAAAAAAGAGTGTTCCCTGTGGAGAAAGTACTCGGCACACTCTAAAATGTCTAATGATTGATGTGGACTGCCAAAAGTTCAGCAGTCAGTTCGACTGCTGATTGAATTTAATTTATGCCTCTCCAATAACAGCCAGCGGAACACCACGGCTTGGCTTGTAAGGACCTCCCCTCGGAACCATCTTGATACAATCTGCAAGAAAAAAGCCATCATCGATTAAATTCTCAAAATAATTGACATCAACCATCATTCATTGACATCAATATTTTCAGTAAGCATCAATCAATTTTAAAGTTTTGTAGCCTTTAAATGTCAATTTCACCTTTGAGGCCGGAGGGCGAAGGGTTAAGTTGTCCTTGCCACGATAGAGACAAGAAACTAGCATGATAACAGATTAATACCTATCCGAATACCGACAGGGTTTGTATTTTAACTAGGTCGCCTTCAGCCTCCTTACAACTGAAATGCTTGGCAACCTAGTACAAGGGAACTTTTGTTGAGTAGGGGGAAAAAACCCAACACATTGGAAGCAGACAGCCTACATGAGAGGTCTGATATTAAAGTATCTGACGAAGTCTTACCGATAACTGGGCAAACAGAAAAACACAATGTACAGCCAGTACAGTCGTCAGTAACATGCGGAAGATGTGTTTGAGCATCAAAGGTGATAGCCTGATAGCCACAGTCATTACAAGTCATGTAGCATTTGCCACAGTTTATACATAAATCTTCGTCAATTACAGCAACAACTTGTTGCCTGTTATCCAGGTCACCATAGGAGCCAATTCGGTCCAAAGCCGCGCCAACTACATCCTGCCAAAGTAAAATGCAGATGCTAAAAGAAATGAATTCATACCAGAAATTTCTACTTTATAGACACAGAACGAAAGATAATTACAAGAATTCACTGAAGGTATTTAAAAATAGATTCCTCTCTATCCCCTGAATGTTCAAACTGTGCCCTCTATGGTGAACATTCAGTATTCAAGTTACCTTGAGTGGTAGAGCAGGTTTGTCCGGTTTAAAAGCTGGCCTGACTTCCTCGGGCTCAAATTCTTTACCCAATAGGTCAATGTTTTCTTTATACCTCGCAACAACAGCATTTCTTTCCTGAAGGAATGGTCCAAAACTAGGAAGGGACTGTTAAGATAGAAATTCCCTGAATAAATATCTCTAGCAGGCTTTAATACAAATACTGGGTATACTAACAAAATACCCGGTGCCCAAATTATAAAAGTTTTACAAAAAACACCGTCAATTAGGCCAAAAATACATGTGAACTGCTTTTACAGCTAAATGAAAATTCGACTGCTGACTCTGACTTGATCATCAGATACTGTAAATTGTCAGCCTCTTTTCACTTCGAACCTTTGAAGGCTGTTCAGCACGCATAGAACAAAAATTTACCTCTGTCTCGTCACAACTTTCGAGAATTTCCTTTAAAATGATTCATTGTGGTGTCCTTGGTCATGTGATGTCATTGTTTATTGTGGTGTTCTCGATCTCTAGTTGTTCGGAAAATGCATTTACTTCATCGTCACTTACCACAGCAAATCTTGCCGCCATTTAATTTTCTAAACAACAAACAAACCGAGGCGGGGATTGTGACGTCATTCGTATCGCCATTCGTGTCACATACGAAAAATATGCCCCTCGGTTCCCGGATGTACTGGTCGTTTTAGTTTGGGTATATTAGTTAGGATATATTTGGATAAATTACGATTTTTAGAAACAATCTTAGATCTACCAAAGCTGTATGGACGGTTGCCGTTTTGCCAGCTATGTCTCTAGCTTACATTTCTACGAACTCGACTGCTAAGCACCAAGATGATAATAATAATAATAATAATAATAATAATAAATAGAACGGTAGTAGCGGCAGCGGGAACGCACATAAAAGAAGTTTCTATAAAGTTCCATTATAAAGCTACATATAACATTCAGAAAAAAGCGACGATCAATCATCCAATCGACATAGATCTACACCTTACTAAGGCACAAAAGCGATGACTCACACCAACCCCTCCGACCACCCCACTGACCCCTCCCTTGCATGAAAAGGTGAGTAATTCATAGGGCAACTTTTAGAATTCTCAATCAATCTAAGAACACCAATCCATAAAACAGTACGTTAAGTCATGTTGTCTGACCTTTCCCACAAGCTCAGCTATTTTAGGAACAGTTTTGCCTTTTTGGTGTTTGGGTGTAGGAGGACTTTGGCCATTCCATGTAGAGAGTTCTTGAACAGTTTGAAGATAAAGCAAGCACTTCAAACCAGTCGTGTAATCGTCAATTAGGGTGAAGTCTTGGTTTTGTACAGCACTCGATACCTGGATAGAAAATAACAAATTACAAATTGGTAGAAGACGGGGGCTTTGCCGACCATGACCATATTTATTGTCACTTGACATCTCCACTAGACAATCCATCATGGCAGCGTAGTTCATCAAATTCGAGACGGACGCTGTTCTCTATTCTACTCTTCTACTTCCAAATATTTCGAAGCAAATTTCACTTGTCTTCAGGGTAAATTTTTGTACATGAAAGTCTATCGAAAGAGAGGTAAGATTATGAAGGTAAATATTCTTTAACGAGGAAAACAAACTTGTGAACACGCAATACTCGGTTATCACGAAATACGAATGCCACTAAATGACGTTGGGCTATGTTATCTTTCCTTTTCTTTGATCTTATAAGTTTTGAGGCCAGTTTCGTACTTAGGTTATTATGTAAGCAACTAAGAAAGCCCTGTTTCACTCCGTTAAAAAACAAAAAGGATTCATTAAGTTCAACAGTCGATTTTTCTTACTTAACAGCCCTAAATTTTCTAAGTTAACTTATTACACACTTTTAATCCACAAAGCACAAGGATGAGCATTTCACCTGAACAGCAGATGCTCCGCAATGAAGGAATTGTAGCGCTGCTTCGGCACTATCCACTCCCCCAGTAGCTAAGATTGGAAAACCAGGAAGGGCTCTGCCAATTGCAGATACAGCTCGTAATGCAATGGGTCGAATTGCATTGCCGGACACACCTCCATAAGTAGTTTTTTGTTCTTTTCCGACTGCTGGCCATGCAGCACTGTTCGGACGCAGGCCCATCAAGCCAGACACTGTGTTAGTAGCAGTCACTCCATCAGCACAACCTGAAACAATAATGAAGCTTTTCACTTCATATTGGAATTCCATGAGTCCTTGAAAGTCCTAAAGGTTTCCATCAAGCTTCTACTATTCATGGAGGGTCAAGGTAAGGTACGGAAGGTACGGTAACGTATCTAAATAATAATAATAAATAATTAAGGCAAACTTGTATATTTAAAAAGGTGTCCTCTTGTGACATATTCACGGTTGCCCTTTATTCAGCTTATCCTAAGAGAACAGGAGGTCAGTAAACTCATTAAAGCATTTTTTAGTCTTTCTAAGTAAATTGTGGCTAACGAAGAAGTTTAAGGTAGCAGTTCTCGCTATCATGATCTTTGTGGAAAAGCAAAATTATTAAGCTCTAGTTTATTTAGTTGTGGTCAAGACAGAGCAGAGCGAACACTTTTTTGTCAATAGCCGTACACAGCAACGAGTCCCTTGTACTCATCCTTGCAATGTTCTCAATTTTTTAAACTTATATTTCAAACTTTGCGTTGCTAAAAACAAAAACTTCGAACAATCACTCTAATTACTAATTTATCATTGTATGAGTAAGACGTCACAGGATAAGAAAATATTTTTGAATTCCACTTCTCCTTGGTTCAATTCCAAAAAAACTAATGAGGAATATATTAAAATAAAAACTCAATCGGTTGGATTTTTGGTCTTATTTCCTTTAGTTGGTTTAATTTCCCACCAGATGCACAACCAATGTACAAAGAACTTCTTTCATCAGCCAGAGCAGGACAACCTCCTACATACATAACAGTACATTTCGTCCTTGTGAAACTTTCTTTCCAAGAATTTTGAAACATTCTAACTCGTGTCTTCGAGTCCGATTAGTTTTTAAGTCTAATGATTCCCTTCAGTTCAGTCAGCTTTTATTTTCAGTTTTTTCGGCGCTTCGAAGTAACCTGCCATACTTTGTTATGCTGCCATTTTGCACGTGGGTGGTATTTCCCGAAAGGGAAAAAATGCAGAAAAATTGAGAGAGCATGGTGAGTCCCAGTCCCCTTCAATACGCAACGAAAAAAAAAACAGCGGATAAACTGTACACCTCATTAAAAAGCACTCTCTTTCTTTCTCTTTTATCTACGAATTTTGAGCTTTCAATGTTTTTAAGGCCTATAGTTTTTCAGTTACTTCCTGGAGATTCACTAGTTCAAAGGACGCTGAAGTAGGTTCGATGACACGCTTGTCCACGACAAAATCCGGCACTAGTTGGGAAGAAGTGTTCACTATGCCGTAACTGATTTTCATTATTACATATCCTTTCATCTTTCCAAGGACTCTAACCAATGGAAGGGATAAGCATAAGTATCTTACGGGTAAGTAGGTAAGAATGGCCCCCAGGATCACTTAAGTTGGAAGAAAAGAGAAAACACTTCATCTATTCCATTTCCAATCAACTTTAAGACAAATCATACCTTCTTTGGCAGCTCTGGCAATGTTGACGATATCCGTGACATTTGGGGTTAATTTTGCGAAAAATGGAATTTTAATGGCACTTCGTATCCATCGGCAAATGTTTCGGACTAATTCTGGGTCCTGTAAAAATAATATATTCGATTACTTTTTCTACATGCAAACGTCAGGAACAAAAAGGTGAAATGAGCCGACAAATAACAAGCTAATAAGTATGGGATAAAAATGCCATAGCAGATGAGAAGACCAAACAGCCGTTGCAAATTTATGGTCGGTAACGGAAATGGAATTTCTTCATTTTAAACTTTGCATCGCTGAAAGAACAGTCGATGAACAATAATTATAACGTAAAATTTGACTGCAACAACCTTCATAGTGAATACAATTTTTACCTTTACTGTATACCTGAAAGATAATCTAAGAACTACTGCTGGCATCTGCGTCGTTTTACATCATACAATTTAAGATCACAAAATTACTTATAACGAAGACTGAAAACATCGAATAACGTTCAAATATGTTGGCAAATATTTGTCAAAATTGGCGACAACAAGCGCAGTTCAACATGGAAAATGTACATGTTGCAAACTAGACAACTCAGTCTGCTTGTCAAAGCTCTTTTCTTTCACACTGGTCGGGAAAATCCTTAACATGAAATTGCCACAAAACCACAAACGTTTTCTTTTAGAACCTTTTTCAAAAAATCGCAATCTGAACTGCCAAAAACTCCTTTAAAATTTCCACCCTATTTTATCTCCATCGATGCTTTCTGAAATACCCTAAACTTTAGTTAATCTGCAAAAAAAAAAAAAAAAAAAAAGAAAAACAAACGACTATGCTAAATAAATGCACCCAAATGGAAATATTTTCCCAATGTAACATAACGTGCGAGACTAATATGGTTCAGTTGGTTGAATATAACGGAAAATGCAAGGAGAGCCACCCACACCTGACCACAAGCTAGACCCATGCCTCTCTCTCCCATTCCATGTGGACATGATAAGTTTAATTCTAGTGCATCTGCTCCTGAATCCTGTAAGAGAATCATTTAACAAATGATTCAGGTGTAACAATTTGCTTAAGTTGAACCTTTCTAAACTAAACATTTAACTTTGACAGAACATAATTTCATATGAGAATTAAAGTCATGATATACTCAGTTGTTACTGGGTTTGGACTGACACTTGTCATAACAATGATAACAATACAATGCTCTTTGAATTACTTTATTTTCGAAATCAGAATAAAATTTCAAACAACAACTGCTGTTCTGTTTTTCAGGCGACATTTTAGTTTCTAATTCCTTTAGTCAAAAACAGTGGGGCATTCGCAGACTGATTTACAAGTTTGATAGGATTTTGTTTACTGAGAATTTTTGTCATTAACACTTTTGACTGGATAAGAAATTAGTTTTCACCACAATAATTTTGTTTTTCTCCAAGTTTCTAATGGATTCTATACCTTGTTTGTTACACAAGACCTTGGCGAGTATATTTTAATTTTTCAGACAAATTAAATTACCTCGGCCATTTTAGCCAATTCAGTCCAGTCTTCCTTGGAATATCCACACATAATGCTGGCAATTACGATCTGGCAAGACAAAAATGAGAGTCTTAACCTTATTATCCTACAATAGAAATTATGAATCATATTTTCATGAACGAAATACATATGACGTAAAACCATCTCCGGACAAATTTATCAACTTAAATCAGCTACTGTCATTTCTCCATTTCAGTTTTCAGAGCACAATAAATTTCTTTTGCAGACAATGTAAAATTTGGAATTACGTGTTTCCACCAAAAAACTTTAAAATTAAAAATACTTAAATGTGTTGTTTTCAAGCGTTGAAGCCATAACTGACAACTACAGCCATACTAGAATTATTGGGAAAATGGTGGGAACATCCGATTAAGACCCCCATTCGACCTTTCACAGTTTCGATATCACTTAATTAAAAACTTCTTTGTTTTCATCGGATAAAATTTGTTCAAACAACACTGCAAGGGGGTGTAAATGGGTACTTTTTACAAACAGCCACATATTCTATCCCCTACGAACAAGGTTTCAACTTTAACCTAAATTAATATCTCTGTGAACCAGTTAACAGTAAAAAAATATATCCGCTTACAAATAACACAAACCTTGTCGGGAAAATCTTTCTTGAGCTCTGTCACAGAGCGACACCAATAAGCTGCTGTCTTTTCACTGATGAGTTCTATGTTGAGAAAAGCACCTTGACCTGGGCCATACAGATGACCTGAGGTTGTTCCGCGCACTATGCGAGGTGACACGTTAGTTACAATGTCCTATATTGGAAAAACAACAACAAAACATCCTTAAACACAAGCGGAAAGATTAGAAATTTGCATAGCTACGTAAGCAGGTGCAGTATGGCTACAGTTTTTCCATGACAGTATCTTTCTAAATATTGGGATTCTGACTTCCTCTCAGATCAGATAATGTTATTTAACGAAAACAATTTCTTCCCACAGAACTATCTGCCAGTCCTATTACGTCTCCTTCGATAGCGACAGTGCTTTCAAGTTTACACAGTCAAGTTTACACAGTGCTTTCAAGTTTACACAGTGCTTTCAAGTTTACACTTAGTGAAAACTTGAAAGCAAATGTCAACAACAAGTCCAACTATTCTTGCCAAACATTTTCAATTTCATGTTCTGTTTTTTTCGACGTTAACGCTGGTGATATAACCTGCGACAATCAGATGATGACAAAGGGCGCGCAAATCTTTTATTACCTTGTCAAGTGCAAAAGTCTTCGTTACGGCAAATCCCCAGCCAGCTTCAAATCCTCGTCTGATCATGGCAGCACTGGTAGTTGGAGGTGCACTTGCTAAGCCAAATGGATTCACAAACTTTAATCCACATATGTCTATACTGAGGTCTACTTCATCTATAGGAGTGTAGAACTTCGGCAAACACGGCTCCTTTGGTACTGGTAAGCCGTATAGTGCCTGTGACAACAGTTCAATTATGTTGTTACAATTCATCTAGTAACGTGAGAGAGAATCTACACTGGTTCAAAAAGTCATCTGATAAGCAAAAGGACAGACTTTCATCCGTTTAAAGAAAGGTTAGTGATGGTCTCCAAGGTTTGATACAATAGACATTAGAAGGAGAGGTAAACAATGTACGTAAATCATATTCAGAAGTAAGAATATAGTTTCTGATTACTAAAGGAACGCACCAAATTTGAGTAGTCTTGATTTGTACGAGCATCCAAAGAGAGAGAAAGCAACCGTGACACACAGAAAGACAAAGGTTTCCACTAAATTAAATCGTAAAACGTCGAGATACAACCGAGACACAGTGAGTCAGTTTATGCAGATCTGCTACGAGGAATATCATTCCTTGAAAGTGTATCAATTCTGCCACGCAGGCAACCAAGAACGCAGAACGGTAGAGCCGAGTAGCGAGTTTAGGACGAGCACTGCACTGCGTTATGAAATTTTTTCGCTTCCAATAGCCAGAGATAAATTATCACGTACCGCGAAACGAGTACACACATGAATGAATTTATGAAATTTTGTTGCGAATGTGAACGTAAAGAGGTTCCTCAAGTCCAGAAGGAAAACTTTGAAACGATCATTACAGTTCACTGACCTGGTAAGAGTCAGCTGAAATGATAGCCGTACCTGAAGCGTTATGAACCTTAGTCAACCTCGCGGTCTAAAGTTTTTCCTTCATCTACCATTTACCAAGCGCACTGCATTTTGTCAATTTCACAGTTTTTAAAAGGTATGCAGTCATCAGTAGGTGATTTGAAAACACCTAATCGAGGTTGTATCCATGAACACAACAAGAAAAATTAATGGTGTAAATGACACTTAGACAAATTCATTACACAAGACTGGTACTGAAAGAAAATTTAGGATGTAATTATGTAACAGTTAGGTAGCAATAAGGGATTGAGAGGTAGCAGATTTTAAAATGATTTGTTAAATGATTTGTTAATACGCTGACAGATGGAATGGAAATATTCAGTGAAAGTACCCAGCTTGTTCCAGGGTTCGGATTGTACACAACAGCATGATTGAACACAGGTTCAAGAAAAAGTGTCTTAAAACAGAGGAACAGGAATTCAAGACAAATAATTGTGCTTAGACTAAGTAGCGAAAGAGTTTACCTCAGTCTTTATTAAGTTTCAATCCGTGTTATCATAAATGAGTCTTGTGCACATTTACGTAGGAATATACAATTTCACCCCCTAGCCTCGCTTTCAAAGCGCGGACTGTTGATTGTTAATCAGAAATTATTCCTAGAACACTGAAATCGAAAGAATACCCTCGTGAAAACATCAATAAAGTAACTCATATTAAAATAACTTAAGACTGATATTTTGGCACAATATTTTAGTACAAACGAGGCTTGGGGTGAATTTTCAGTAAATGACAGACATCATCGTGCGTTAGAGCTATTAACCGCTTTTAGTGAGCCTCTAACAAATAGCATGAAAATAAATCAAACAGGACATTTCTGTCCATTCTACTGTGAGATAAGGACAAACCTGTAAATACTTGTGAATATGCCAGGCAGCTTGCTTTCCATCATTAACACTTTCCACTGTTGTGTTCGCCACTCCAGCAATGTCTCCTCCACAAAATATTCCAGGCTCACTTGAACTCATTGTGTGTGGATCCACCTCTGGGAGTCCCCATTTACTGAACTTCAAAGGTGCCATGGCTTTGATAACTGTTACAATTACAATCCACAATGTACATGAACTGCTTCTGTATCTACAACACTATATGTTGTTCACTGAAAATTTCTTGCAGCATCATTCAATGTTTGCAATTATTCAATACTTGCATCTTCACCACGTATTCACATGTTTTATGCGAAATTGAAGCAATGGAATATAAAATGTAATGGACCTGTACTGCGTCAAAAAAGAATCAAAATATCATAACCCCAAAGGGTACACCAAATCACGGTCTGCCTTTTGAGCAATATTCAACCTGGCTTGCTACTTACTAAATACCATTTGCTACAAAATATATTACTATGAGAAAAATGTCTAAACAGAACATGTCCACGGAGACTTAGGCCAAAATAGGATCATCATCTAGGTCAGTCATGAATGGAAAAAAGGATTGAAAAAGGAATCAACTCAGATCTTAACACAGAATCACAGTGGTAATGAGCCACTCTACTCAGAAATTGAGTCATTTATTCATTTAGTATGGAGCCCAGTTCTTCTGTTAAAATAGTCCTATTAAGAAACATTTAAATGCAATGCGTTCATTTTCGCGATATCCCCCTTTGTGTCCTCCAAAGAAAAAAAAATTACTGTCAGAAGACACGAATCCTCGACTAACCACGGAACTCTGTTATCAATAGATGAAGGACCCATGTGGATATAAATTTCGCATCAAACATTTCATCACGAGTGCGCAAGGTGGTCAAAAAGGAGTTCACTACAGTAACAGTCCCTTACCATCATTATCAGCAAGAGTGGAACCAAACGCTGAAATGACAAAGTTTACTTTTATCTTTAGAGTCTGTTCTTCATCTTCAATCCATGAACCATCGTCCAACTAAATTAAAAGGCATCATAAACATCGATCAGAGTTAATTGACAATTATATCTAAACATAACACAATAAAACTGACGTTGAGATTGCAAACAAACCTGCTCTGTTTTGCTGAACTCCATAGCGCAGATTTTTCCATCTTTAACATGAACCTTAAATTCATATACCAAACATAATTGGCACCATTAACCTTAAACTCAATTTTTAGGATAAATTTAACTAAGTGAATTACCAGGTTACAAAAAGGAAAAAAGACAAGATGAGTTCCAAACCTTTTTTGGTGACAGAAAAGGCAAGAATTCACACTTCTCTTCGACAGCCAGTTGCATCTATAGTAAGTAAAGAAAGTCAATCACCCCGAGGCCCTGATATGCACATAGAGCTACAGTACATGTATACCATGTTTGCAACAATCCATTCGCAGAATTTGGCTCAACATTGGTCATTGTTATACCTCACGTTAGAATTCAAACTCCTTAATAAAATTAAAGGATCCAAAAGAAGAATAGAAACTGCACCATTTTTTTAAGAAGCATACTCTCCATTCCAGGAGGTTGTAAACTGAGATCAAGAAAGGGTCAGTCAGATTGAAGTTGAGTGAAGACACCAACGTCAAAGCAATTTGATAATAACTGTGAGCAAATAGACCGCATTCTACAAGACCTGAACCACCCTCGCTTCACCACTCTGCCATGCCCATCACTTCATTCCATGGGACAAATACCACCAGCCAAGTTACAGTCAAAATTGTGGAAGATACAAAGTAAAGCTGATTGAAAGAAAATGTGTTTGTCTTTCATTGTGTTTTATCTGGGAAATTTGAGTTGTAGTTAGAAAATGCTATCTGCATCATTTGAGTTGCAAGTTGTTGAAAGTTTGACTAGCAATCAAACTTTCCCTTTGTTAACCTATAATAACATGTACCAAGAAGAAAATAACCTAACTGACCTCTTCTGGCACTGCTCTTATGTTAGTGAAGCCTTTTCTGAAGATGACTGATACTTTGCGAGCTCCACAACGGAGAGCAGAAGTACAACAGTCAAAGGCTGTGTCTCCACACCCAAGGACAATCACATGTCCAAAGAGTTCTGGTAGTTTTGCTTTACAGGAACACATACCTACAAGGAAACATTGACTTTTAAAATCCTATCATATCTCCTTAGTTCACGTTATCTAAGCTTTTGAACTTAATAATGTTATGTATCAGTGAGTCATTTTGTCCTCCTCAGTTTGTAAGCTTTTCTGAACAATTTGAGACATTTACTTCAACAAAGTTTGAACTCAGTTTCAGTCTAGTTTCAGTTTGGGGGCCTCAATGGATTTAATGAGTACAAGCAGAGTAGCTGAACAGATAAAAGTAGGGAGGGGAGGGGGGGAAAAGAAGTGTAACACCGTAGATAATTTAAGTTTGAAGGGTCTTTTGTGTAACCAATGATAATCTCAAATTTTACTGGTTTGATTTGCTTAAAAACACCACACCAAGAATGATAATTGGTGATGACAAGGAGGAGGAGTCTAGGATGTATGTTATTCCAAGCCCACAGATATTTCACATTTCCTGCCTCTCAGTGGCCACTGACGTTTTTAACCCTTGTTCTCACACGTGCACTTGTTCTCACACATACACATTTATAACTACATAAAGGAAGTTGGGAAATGGCTGTGCAAAGACTGGCTAAGATTGATTACATAGGGAAGCAGAGCAAGGTAACCATTAGACAGAATGTATATCTAACGATGAGAGTAAATTCTGTGCTAAGTTCCTCCCAGAGAACACTGTTTTCAAGACATTAAGTCCATTTACCAGCCTTGCTTCCCATAGATACCACTGGTAGGAAATCTTTAGACGTGTAGAATCCATTCTGCACATTTAACCCAGCAAACACTGGTGATAGCTTGGGCTGAGGCAGACCTGGTTAGCAACCACATATTCTGTGTCATTATGTGATATACACAAACTACATATTATTACATGTACATCCACTCTAAAATTACTGATCATCCTTGCAATCTGTTTAGCTGTGGGAAATACACATCAAAATAGCTTTTCAAGGTCAGCTGTCAAAAGTCATCTTGATAAATAGATAAACAAAGTCAGACAGAGATCACCCCCAGCTTTTCAGCAGTCAAATTCACATAACTTGACTCAACCAGTGGGATGATTTTTAGAGAGAGTACCTTTAATTGTTTACCTCTAAATTGGAGACGATAAAAGTTGATTATTTTAAAACCTATGTGAAGGTGATAATATTCATATCAGACTCAGCAAAGAAGCTACCTTCTTTTTAATCAGTATTTTGTAAAACAAACAGAAAATCCACAGTCTCTCAAAAATCACTGTGATAAAATCAAAAGATGGAACAGATCTTACCAATACCAATAAAGATGCTTTCATACCCTGCTTCCCAGATAGCTTTGATGGAAAGTCCATCTTTACCTAAACCTTTACCAAGTTCAATCTGAAATATCAACAGCAAGGTTGGATTAAATTTGTTTGCATTTTTTTTTCAGGAGACAAGCATGATCTCCACGTATATCTATATCAAATACCATCATTCAGAGATATCAACATAGCTGAGGTTAAGCAACCAGAGGGTTGGCAGAATTATGCATGGGTTACATGAAATAAAATCATGTTCAAAAAATACATCCAAATTTTTCAGAGAAAAGTAAAGACCTATCAAGAACAATAAACTTACAAGAAATTTAAAATGCATAATACCGAAAAATGTCTTTGCCTGCCTACTGTCCTTCCAAAACATTCTACGAGACTACCCACTCAACAATGACCTAACAGATTTTTTGGTTACATCTAACAACTTCACTTTCAAAGCATGTGTAAATCCCTGAATGTAATTTGCTGGATACATTCCCAAAGTTAGCTCGTAGTGGAGTATTCTAGAATTTTGAGCTAAGGTACATAAGAGCAGCACAAGTATCCAAAGGTGTAAGTGTGTCATTTTCAAGGGGTACTCAAAGTACCCCAGTCTGTTGTTGCTACTAGCCACCCTAAGTTTTGTCTACGAACAGGCCACCTACTCTACAATGACACCTCTGACATCTAAACTTTACTACTTAGACTAAAGTTTATTAACAAAGCATACAACAAAATGCTTTACAATTTGCATGAAGAAAAACAAAATTGGTTACCTTGACTCCAAGGTCCTTCATGAGTTCCACTTCAAAGTTAACTGCATCATATGGAAGCCTATATTGTGGAATCTCTGAGGAGCTGTTTAGAAACAAAATCACAGTAGTTTGATTAGAGCAGCCAATGTATGTATGTCTGTCAGATTACGAGTACAGCATTCCTATGAGAATTCTTACTTACTCCATACTTCAAGAGGTGGTGATCAATACGCTGGTGATGCCCATAATAATATATCCAGCATGATGTAAACAGCTGTATGAATTCTACCCTACTATCTTTCAAGCAAGTCTGCTGGTGCAAGCATCTTGCCTTGCACCATTTCTACTTGTGTAGCAAAAGTTGCAAGACATTGGACCAGACTCTACAGCTACAATCTGCCATAACACAATATCCACAAAGCTACTTCTAGGGAAGTATCAAGAGCCAAAAATTAAAATGAAGAGCTGGTTGCCACTAATAGCCCAGCTGTGTTTCCAAATTTGATGTTGCAATATCACAGAAAAAAAAGCACAGATTGTAGAGGAGCTGAGAGGAGGGGGCAAAGGAATGATATAATGATTATGTAGATATACTATCCCAGAAAATTGTGATCTCCATGTAAATGTAAATGTATCTGTTTGACAACTTTACCAGAGAGTACATGAGCATCTCCCTCAAACATGGCATAACAAATGAAGCGTATAAATGCATGTAGTTCACCATTGGATAAGTCATGCTATATCATTCATTCAGTTTTGGTCTGACCTCAATGCAGCTTTAAGGTTTTTAAAACAAATTAAGTTGTCATTTCCTTTAAATAAGATGAATATCACATTACAGACTCATCAATTACAGCTCCAACACAAAGACTGCATGTACTGTAACTTAACATATTGGTTTGATTTCAATCCTTACAACAAAATGATTCAATTTAGCTCCTCCTTCAGAAAAAAATAGTCCTGCAACTGTGGATGACTTCATACAAGGTTTAACTCTGTGTACATCAAGAAGACCATGACCTACATGTAGATGTTCTGTTCATTTTCCACAAAAAGGACCACATTGATACTGAATAAAAGTGTAATTAAAAACCTTAAACCACCAATATAATTCTCTTTTTCAAATACTGTCAAGTTTGTGTAACCAAGACGAGCCAAAAATGTTGCACAACTTATTGATGCAGGACCACATCCAATCAACGCCACCTATGGGGAGTATAAAATAAAACCAAGCTAAAAACCAATTGATATTCAGAGAGAGTACCATTCAAAACTTGAATACCTTCCTGATATAGTGTTGTATCAATTACCTTATTACAAATGTTTCAAAAGCTTACATTGGATACTTGCCCAACAACTACTGCTCACCTTGGAGTAGTAACTCTCAGGAAGCTGGTCAACAGAAACCACTGAAGGATCACGTACTTGTCCAATTCTCATCTTCTTAAAAATCTAACGGTGAAAATAAAGATTTCTATTGAAATCCCTATTCATAATTTTAATAAAAAGCTGTTAATTATATTCTGTATAGTTATTTACTAACTATTTAAGTGTAAGTATACTTAAGTGCAGGTGGGTGATGGACTCATTCAGATCAACTTATAAATTAAATACCGATACTCACTTGTATCTAAATTTTTTGGAATATTTCAGTGAGATACATGTAGACAATTTAAAACATTTTAAAATATTTAACTCTCTTAGACTACACATGAAGCACTATTAGCTTTTACCTATTTCAAAAGTTCTTCAATTCATAGACACCATTCTAAATTTCCAACATCATTAGAAATTTGAGAAGAGTCCTACATGGGATATTAGGGAGCTTACAAATCAATGACTTCCCAGAGGATGACGAGGTATCAACACTAGAAGTAGTTTATGCACATGCGCTACCGGATGTGGCATTATTTCATGCATCATCTTGAAGGAGGCAACTACTTCAGAAGAGCTGTTTTGAAGTCATCTTTGTAGCAACACATCAAAAGGTACCTTTTGTTTGGAATATTTGCTGAATCTAACACTCAATCTACAAACACCTTCCAAATATACTGACAGGAGCTTCCCTGAAGCAGCTTTTTGCTTCATTGAATGTTATTCACACCATAGTTCTTATTTATCAAATAGGAAAGATGTCAAACTGCAAAAAGAATGACCCAAGCCCTTCAAACACACGGTAAGGGAATAAATAAAAAGAGACATTGGCATTTTAAGGTCAATTCAGATACCAAGAGAGATAAAGTGTAAAAGAAACTAGTCTTCTTCATTCAAAGGTTCTAAGTTTTTATCCATTCATTGGCTTTAAATTAGTTTTGAATAGTAAACAAATGTTCTTTCAATGCTTCCAAGTAGTCACAAGATGCAGCACTAGCAATGAAAATACTGAAAATACTGAAAATTTTTGTCAATTGAATACTCATGTCTAAGTTTGATATTTCAGTCCTTTAAAATATACTGTCTTTGATTAGATATTAATGGCTATTTCAGTAACTCAGTGATGAAATGGACAAAAGAACACAATGTCTTGTTGGGAAAAGAGGTTATGCTGTTTGAACTGTAGAAATACAAATTAGGAAGTCGTGAAAGAGGAAATTGCCTCGACCAAATTTCCGATAAAACAGCTTAAGAAAAAGCTTCTGTTGAAGAAATGTGAAACAAAGCCAGGGAATGTCTTGGTGAGACAAAGAAAAGAGCAGGAGATGATCAACTGCGGAAGAAAAGCAAACATACACCAAACAAAATGATGGACTATTTAAGAGGAGCAACAGAGAAGGAATGTGAGCTGAAGAAGGAAGAACTAGAATTTAGAAAGAAACAAGAAAGGGCATTGGCACAACAAAACCTGATGTTTCAACAAGAGAAAGAAATGTCCAGGCAATTTTAAGACCAGGTGAAAAATCAACAAGAGCAGTTCCAGATGATGTGTCAAATGTTTATGCAGCAACAACAACAACATACATGTAGCCAAGCACTACTTGAACTCTTGAAAAAGGGACATTGAATTCACCAGGTTGATTTTTTGTTGTTTTTATTATACATACAAAGCTAGATTTTCCCTTTGCCGCCTAAGTTCAACCTATTTAACTTCCAACAAGTATTAAAAAAAATTGTGCAAGCTTGCTTTTGATGATGAGAGGGTTTTTTACCATCTCTACTGGAATTTTTACACAGCTGTTATTCATCAATGCTTTCTAATGTCCAAAATTTGATGAATCATGAAATGTTTGATTTTGAAATGTATCCTGATGTATGTCCTTGCTTGTGTAATCCCTTTCACGTTTTATCGTTCTAATAGTTAGATGAAATAGTCATCTAAAGCTGGTGGATTGATACCAAAGTACTCTGAGGTAACAGAACCATATAAAATAGTGTGGGCATTTTGCATCAGGGCATGAACTATGTACATTTTACCCACAGCACTTAAACCAACTTTAAGGTTCTTTTTAAAATCCAAAAATTTGAAACAATTGATTACATCATTAAAAACCTATTCAACTGAAACACGGGCACTGCTCATAGATTTGTTGAATTCTTGTTGATGTAGTGTCAACACTCCTCCCTTGTAAGGTCCCTGTAAGTGTGCTCTAAGAGGGTATGCAGGGTCACCCTACACACACATGGGTAAACCAGTAACTGGTGAATTAGAAAATCTTTGCAGGTCCTGTAAAAGCCCAGACGAGGTCAGCATACCACTGTCATGACACTTTCGTTCTACTGAACCATATAAATGACCAACCAGCCCATTAGGCAACCCTCCTGATTGGAATTTTATGGAATGTATTCTTTTTTGTCCATTAAAAATGGCTCTCTGATTTTCTCCTGGCCTACACACTGGCCGCACTGTTCCATCAATAAACCCCTGTAGCTTTCCAAAGCTTCGCCTGATCAGCTTAAAACATAAGATTTGCCGGGGAAAGCAGGTCATGATTATATCTTGAGAGTAAGTGATGCCATCAGTTATAGATCCAGTCAATCATGTAGTTTGTAATAATACAAAGCTCCGGAACAGGTCTAGCAAAGTGAGAAACCATGTTCCCATGATGGCAAGGATACATAAAGCGCTTGAGATAGATACATAAAGCAGGAGCTGATCCAACTACTAGGCTGTTGTAAGTAACAATCTCATCAGGTAATTGAAGATATTCAGCAAGTTTGAAAATGTCATTTTTGTAAAATTGGAATTCAGCTTTGCACTGGTCATTTCCCAGCTCATCCAAATCAAATTGATCATACTTCCATACTGAAGTTTGACATTTTAATCAACATGTTCATAAAACTATTTCTAAATAAAAAAAGTCAGTCTGTGACTTAAATTTGGTGAGAAATCTCCACATCAATGTCCACAACTCGTAAACTAAATTTGGCGTGCAATGACAAATGGCGACGACAAAGTTAATGACATCACATTAAGTCATCGTTGAGAAAGAAGTCATCAATTCATAAGCTCCCTATTAACTTGGATTTTGTATAGGATGCTTAATATTCCCAGCTGGGATCCCACTAGAAGACTGTAACATGGGATGTAAGATGGGATCCCAAGTGAGGAAAGAAGGATCCCACCTAGGATTGTAGGGATCCTATCACAGTTTGGTGATATTTTTGAGATCTCAACTTGGATTGTATGGGGGCTGAGGCAGGATTCCACCCTGGATTATATAAGGGGGTGAGGCAGGATCCTATCTGGTACTGTATGGCAAGTAAAATGCAATCACATCTGGGGTTGCACCTATAGTTGGCATGTTGACACTTTGATCTTGTCAACCCCCATTTACTTCAATTGATCTCTTTTGCCCCTGTCAAGTTAATCTATTCACACCCTTCCCCCCAAAAACAATATTGTACCATGATTCCATGAACTTTTAGCCAACATTGAATAGGAGAGGTGGGTCTTGTTGATGATTATAAGTGTGGAAGAAACAGGTGTGTTATTCTACACATAAATGGAACTCTCAAAACATAATGTGTCAACTAATTTTGACACTGCCTGTGGGATTGATGGGATCTCACATGAAAATTTAGGCAGAATCCCATCTGGAGTTGCAGGTGGAATTTATGGGTTGTAGCCTGAATATTTAGGCAAAATTCCACTGTGGATGTTCCAAATCCCAGGTGGGTTTGGTAGGATCCCACCTCATACCTTTCAAGCTGGGAGGTGAAAATGACCAGAACACTAAGACTTGAAAACATTTCCTAATTTTAAAAATCAAGATGGTTTATGAGTTCTCTTAGCAGCTCAGTATAGCTAAATCTAAAGTAAATCTTAAGTTACCTCTGTAGCAAACTGCTGCAAGCCACCAATGTTAATGGGTCCCTCCTCAGAGGCATACAAATTACAGCCCCCTACACAAAGGTCACTTGTAGGGCATACCATACCACAGGTCAGACCAAGGGGATTATCACTCAAGATCGCCTTTGCTGCTCCGTAATAGTTCTATTAAACATCAACAATGAGAACAATCCAAGTGGGAACAACCCTAATAGAGCCACATCATGATCTGCTACATATTTACAATTAGCAACTAAAGAGAGAAGCCATGATTGCATTTTGCTGCTCATCAGTCTGACCAAAACATTTACATTTTCAAAAGTTTTCATTTGTAACACTTTGTAACCATTCCAGAACATTAAAAAGAAATGTCAGTTGGTAGGTTTCACTAAGCAAGAAATGCTTATACCTTATTGGCAATGCTGGTGATAAATGACTTGATATCCAACTGTGTTGGACAACTCTTCTGGCAAGGAGCATCAGCACACTTGAGACATCTGTAAAAAAAGCATTCACTCTGAACAATCACATAAGAATGATGAATGAACATTTAATCATTAACTAGCTTTACACTAGGTATAGAAACCCTATATCGAAATGGAATTATCACTACAAATAAAATTTGTTAATTATTCGGGGAAGGAATCTTACCACTTTGAAAGGCATTTTAAATACTCTTTTGGCAAAAGTTCAGTATCAAAAGAAAAAACGAGCCACTAACAGTAGTTGGTAGGAGCGTATCAACCAACAGCCCAAACAATGGAAATCAAGGTTGCTGAAATAAATGAGCAACCTAATAAATGATATTGATACCCATAACAACTCATATTAAATATCTTAGCGCAATACAAAATTCAGTTACACAGTCAAATATATATAAGTATACAACAAGTACAAAAAATAACCTTTAAGATACCTTGCTGCCTCCCTTAAAGCTGCCCTTTCACTCAAGGTTGTATGTTTGACATCATCAAAGTTGTTCACAAGACTTTCACAACTCTAAATGATCAATCAAAAAACATGATCAAAAAGTAAAATGACCCTATTTAGTTACTGATTTAATGTTTGGACAGTTAGTCAGATTGTCTTTGGAGAGTAAATTAAGTAAACAATCCCACCTTTATTAATACCATAGGCATAGTATTATTAACTACTTAATAACAGGGTTATCATGTGCAATTTTTGGAATCTTACAAATAATTATCTTTTTTTGTCTTCTGCTATGGATGTATGACAAATCTGCCAGTGCTTTTTGGACTTGGCTACACATACAACTCAGTAAACTTTGAATTTTTGTAATAATAGCTATATATTTCTGCCATGCAATGGAATCTAACAAATTGAGTTCAAGAAACGTATTAAATAAATTGAAAGAATTTTTGCCCTTGGTTCCTCTTTGTTAAAAATGCATTAACTTAGCACACCAGGTTGTTCTTACCACCGATAGCTCAAAAACTTTGCAAATAACATCCAGAAAAGATGATGAGGGTTACACAAACTTTCAGGTAGTCTGAAACCTCTACCTGTGCATGTTGACCCACAAAAAAATTATTCTGGATGGTTACCTATTAAACTCAGGGTTTTCTTGTCAGAGTTGTTATTTTTTCTCCAAGGTAAATACTTCTGAATCAATGTACTCTTAGCTGCTTCCTTTTTCCATTGTGTCCCACATGTGTAGCTGCTTTCTTTAATTTTCAGTACATGTACTCATATCGGTCATCTTTCCGGTTTTTATAAGGAAAGACCATAATCAGCTTATGAGCAGTGTGGAAATGTGATGCTCTTTTTGCCCTGGCACTTAGCTAATCCAGGTCTGTGTTATATTGCCCACAAGCATCAGCCACACAATATTGCAATTGAAAGCAATGGATTACAAAAAGTGTAATATGCATCAATGTAAAGTACAATGTACATAACAACAAAATTAGGTACAGAAAACCTGAGCAATGGATGATTATCAAGCATTCCATTACTAACTAAACATTATATCCTGCTGCACAATTAATGTAGCTTTCCAAGTATAGGTGAAATTGCTAAGAAAATTATCACTATTAAACATTTCAAGAATCATCTAAGAGGAAGCAATTATGGCATTTGCAGTGAGGTTCCACTAATAATCTTAAGAATGACTTTTTGTGCTAACCGTCAAATGCGTATATTAACATAGACCTGCCACTTACAGAACAGCCCTTTTCCTGATTCCTCTTCCAAAATTTTCTGTTGGACTTTGTTGTTGATGTAGAAACCAAACTTGCGTGTGGCTTTGTCTTGGGATTGAGGGCAAGTAGGTTCTGTTATGATAAATGGGCCAGGTAATATCAATCTAAGTCATTGCTAACAATGCAACAATGAGTTTCAGTTTATAAGGTATTTCTGTATAAAAACAAAACTCTCATCAAAATTGTGAAAAAAAAAAAGGTATCACTGGGCTCATTTTAAGGAAAATCACAATTCACAGCACTTGCAGGTCTTCACCAATGATAATGGCATTATTTTGTTTTAAAATGTGCACAGGCTACTTTTTGATGAAGATGTTGTTCAGTTTGGGTGGGCAATGAAGTATAGGGGGAATTAACTATAATAATCAAACAAAATTCTCAATTGTGATTGGTGATGCTCTAATTGAACACTTACAGGACAGTGTCATTGAAAAGAGTGATGGGACAGTTTATGGATCATGGCTGTGTTGTGGACAGTTCATGTCATATATATACTGCTGGGTTCTTATGCAACTGTTACAGTTTTCAATATAAATGTGACAGATGACTTCCTGTTTCTCAAATTAATTGTAGATTTGATTAATCAGTATAAGGATTTTGTGTGCTGAGTTTCACTTTGAACAATCTCAGAACATATCCCCTAATTTACAATGGACAACTTTCTGAGTTCGCGAGGTGTAGATCGAGGCATGGCCGTGCTTTGGATACAATTTGCAATGATTGTTAAGTTTGTAATGATCGTCAATTTTGTATGATTGACTGAGAGAAAGGGCCAAAATAATATATCTAGCGCTCGGTCATGACTTACGGACCTCCCGTCCAGCCCTCCCCCTCAGTAAATAGGTACTACAAAGTATAAAAATCGCGCGTTCAAACAGTTACACAACTACTCTACAGCTACGCTAAGAACTAAATTGCGCGAGACTTACAACTATTGTACTCACCTCAACGATTCCAGCTGACGAATAATTACCCAAAATATGCTTCTTCGACTAACTAGCTTATAACATCGAGTGTTCAAGTTACAGACAATACATATTATTCTATCTTACGCCCCAATTCTATCTTATGACCAGCACGCCGTTCTCTCTTTCAAGCTCAATTATTCGAGTAGTCATGCCTCACTTAATGAAAATTGGTAACAATAAAACCACGATCAACAAAATCACGATCAAATTAATAGGAGATAAAGTGATATTGAGTCCCACTTCGAAGTCGTAACTGCTCCTTTCATAAGAATGGTGCGTCACATGGTCCAAGGCGAAACCAAGGAAGAGAGAAAGTTCCTACGTAGAGAATGTCATTTTTATGATCAAAAACTGTCAAGGCGTACCTCAATATCAGAAGAGTGTTTCGATAGCGCCATGCTGTAAGTCATTGAATAGGATTCCACCCTCAATGCTGCGTTACACAACACAGTAATGTTAGACCCTTGGCCCTTTGAGTCACGTGACAGATGTAGCGTATTCACTCTGCCGTCGATTCCGCCCCCCTTCGTAACGACATAAGTCATACAGACGAGTCCTTACTTTAGTACTGCAAGAAAACAAGAAAATAATGATTCTCTCATTTCCTCTTGAAGAGTATAACAAAAAAGGTCCAAAAATACTATCTTCGGATTCCTCCACCCGGATCCCACTCTATACTCGGGCGCAGGCTAATACTCAGGGACCAAGGGCAAATAATCGGTGAGAAGACAATGAAACGGCGATTTAGATTCGACGCAAAAGTTTACAGAATTCAGCGAAAATATAGTTGCGTCCTTTTTTCTTCTTAAAATATTTATTCCGCTCTGCTTCAACGTATTGAGCACTGTTCCACGCGAAAATCGACTTGCAAACTCCCTCTATATATATATATATATTTAACAAATAGAGAAGCCTTGACTGTGCTCTGTTCTGTTATAAAGCACGCAGGAAGTGGCTAGAGCACGAAAGAAGTGTAGGGAGAAACACGAGACGTAGTCGAGTGTTTCTTCCCACTTCTTAAGTGCTCTAGCCGCTTCCTAAGTGCTTTATAACAGAACAGAGCACAGTCAAGGCTTCTCTATTTGTTTTATAATAACGAATCCGTTAAATTACCCAAGCGTTACTTTCAATTTTCAAAACAAACTTTATTTCCAAAGCGAACAACAATGTCGTCAGCATGCTCTATACTCTCATAAAGCACGCTACAATAAGCCAATCAGAATCCTTGTTAGAATGGTTCAAATAATCTGATTGGCTGTACAAGACTAAAGCTGTCAAAAGTGTCAAACCATCAAAGTTCAAAAACCAACAAAGTTCACATTCTACGATAGTTTACAAACAGTTCGGCAAGTCGAATTTAACACTTTTGCCTGAAGTTTTTAAGTCTCTAATACAGAATCTCGAAGTGAAATGTTCTGTGAAATTCAGCCGAATTATGGCTCATAAAAACACGCGAGTTTTTTCCACAAGGTAGAAAGTACTATACTCTATACTCTCATAAAGCACGCTCTTTCAACCAATGACAGCGCGCGTTATATCCGAACTTTATTATAAATATATATATGCGTGTGTGTGTGTGTGTGCGTGTGTGTGTGTGTGTGTATAGACATAAACATAGCGTAAACATTTCCCGAAAAATCACCGGTACAGCAAAATTTCAACAAAAACAACATGAAAGTTAGTTATAGCTGCACAGACAACCTACAAACCATAATTAAGAAGCACAACAGAAAAATCCTCGAAACAAGCAAGACACCCTCCACGGAAAACAAATGCAACTGCAGGAAAAAAAACAACTGCCCTCTGAAAAACAACTGCCTCACTTCAAGCGTCGTCTACAACGCCAACGTAACAACAGAAAATGACACAACCGGAAAATACATTGGACTTACTGAAGGAACTTTTAAGCAACGTTACACGCAACACAAACTTTCTTTTCGGAACAGAAACTATTCAAACAGCACGGAACTATCAAAGCATATCTGGACACTCAAAGACAGCAACACCAATTTTACAATAAACTGGAGTATTTTAGCTACCGCCCCGGCCTACAGCAACAAAGCAAGCGGTGCCGTTTGTGTCTCACAGAAAAACTTTATTTAGTTAGAGCTGAGAAATCGTCTTTATTAAACAAAAGAACAGAACTCATTTCTAAATGCCGCGACGAGAATAAATTTTACTTAGTAAATTTCACAAGCCGCCAATAATAGCTCTATAGAATCTTTATTTCACACATAGATCAGATCATCACACTAGTGAATTAATTAGCTACTCATCTAATTTATATATAAGGAGGTATGTTCTTCATTGAATAAAGTTCTGTCTGACGAGCGCTTAGGCGCGAAACTCAGAGTAACAGAGAATCGATGCGTCCTCTTTGATTCCTTCACTTATATATACCCAGCTCTGCTACCACAGCATTGAGCATTTTATGCCAAGGTAGACTCTGCCCCCACATTTATATATATATAAATTTAACATATTTGCCATTGTTTTACCTAAAAGCACCGAGGCTTATCGGGGGTGTTACAATACGGACAGCTTTTCCAATTCCCGAGCGTTTGCCCGAGAGATTTGACTGTTATGGGGAGTCATTTGTGCCAGAAATATCAGAAACTCAATAATAATCGCTTTGGCTTTTTTTCTTTTTGAACCCTCACAAACTGCTTTAGTCATGGCCTTGTGAGTTAACTCAAAACAATTTGACTGTAAGCCTATTGCCCATAAAATTTGGACAAAATGACATTCAGTCTTAAGGAAAACATTTGTAGGTATTGTTGAATAACAGACCAGAAAGAGTCGTTCCGGAAAGTTAATATTTTGCCGGAAAGTTTAAGTCGTTCCGGAAAGTTGAAGTCATGAAAAAAACATAAGCATGCTATGCATGCAAGAGTTATTTTTTGGGGGGTGGGTGGATTACTTGAAACATTGTAAGTGATTTCTACATTCTTACAAAAGGAAAGAAGACTATTAACGCGGAAAAGCACGAAAATACGAAAATGTCGAATTAATTCACACACAAGTATTTTGTGGTAGATTGTGTGTGTTTTGCGAATAACTGTTACCAAAAATAAACTGTATTGGTGCCACAATAACCTGTTAGTACAAAATGCAGACTGCAGCAGACCGGATACAAAATGTTGACTGCAGACTGCAGAGTGGGTAAACTCAATCGTTAGCAACACTAACGATTGAGTTTTATCACTAGAGATTGATATTTTTGGCACAAATGGTTCCTCATGGCCTTTATCATAAAATATTCTGACGAAGGGCTAACGCTTGAAACGTCAGCCTTTTTACTCTTTACGGTGGCCAATTTACGTCACCAGCTCAGTTGATAATATCTAATTACCCAGTATTATAAAGGCTCACACTAAACAAAATGGAATGAAGTGATAGTTGCAATATTTGTTAAGTGATTTCTCAGTTCTAAATTTTACCACTATAGGTTTATGTCATTTGACTAGCCTTTTTGGGCGAACATCTAAAGGGAAAAACCATTTTTGTAACTCGTCCATTTCGATTCAAAATTCGTAGGTCGTAATGTGCGGCGTCGTATCACAGCATGATCGCTTTCTCTCTGACACCATGATTTGTATAAATTTTTAACTGTTCTGCCAGTTAGGATATATTTTCATCAATCCTATTTTGCTTTGTTTTTGGGACACAAAATTATACTATACGAGTGTTAAATGTTTTTGAGTTTAATTACCGGTGTCACAGCGGATTTGGACCCCCCCGTTCAAATCCATGAGCGTATGGACCCCCTTCGCAGATTTCAACCCCCCTACCAAATTTTCCTTTTCGCATCGTTTGTATCATATTTGGTACCTCGTTCTATTTGCAAGCTTTTTGTCGATGTTCTTTTTAATCACAACACGACATTCCTCAGAAACGATAGAGACAAACAGCCATTTCGTTCCAATTCTGCCTCATTTATTATAGTGAGTCGTACAGTATAAGCGAGAATGAAATGCAAACAACTACTGCATTCGAACTATTGAAATTGTTACAATATATCCTTGCTTCTTCTGATGCGAATCAACATTGATACGAAACGTCATAACAATAGTGGAGACTATTGCGTCCAGTTTCAGTATGATTTCTAATAAAATAACATTAAACAGTTTCTGAACAAGAACGAAGTAACTACTCTTACTACAATTCGTTCGTAAAGCATATTTCAGATTATCGTAAATCGACTCGACCGAACACTAACTAGACAAAAAAAACCTTAAAAGGACTGTTAGTTTCACTTATTTTTAATCATTAGGAATAAACAAGTAACACAAACGCGACTGGATGTAAATTTTAGTGTGCGTTCTCGGCATACGAACAATAGAAAAAGTCTCAATGTAATGCTCTTTTGCGCCTAGGTTTTTTACACTGCATACGAACAATGGAAAAAGTCTCAATGTAATGCTGCCTAGGCCTTGTTCAAGTCATATCTAATAGCTGATCGTACTCAATTGGTTTCATTTCATTCCAGGGATAATTGTTTTTGGGTACCCTCTTATGATCTGTTCGCCTCCGCTCGCAAAGCAGTATTTTCCGCGCCAACGGCGACCGGCGTTCACAGATTGAGAAGTACGTGGTCGTCTCTGCTTTCTCAGCTGGTCGACAACTATGGCGACAACTCGGCCGATAACCACGTTCTTTCAACCAGTCAAATCCAGTGAAATTGAAAATGAAACAGTTAACGGTGAAGAAGGTAAAGCTGAAGCCATGGAATTTGAAAACGGTAAGTTTGTTTTTAGTGACTATGGTTTAGAAGTAAACATATGTACGTTTGTCGTTTTAGTTGAGCTTTCTGATTTTGATGCCGAAGTCTTAGTGGAAGGTCCAGTTTCGAGTGGTGTTATCGAAGGTAAATGCTGTATTGAAATTCGTTTTTTTTTCGGCTAGGGTACGTAAAATTAAACATCTAAACAAGCCTGAGGAAAACAAAACCGACGCAGCCAATTATTTACAGACCCGGCGTCTGAGAAGAACTCAGTATTAAAATACATTTTAAGTTATTTTACTGCATTTAGGAACAAATGACGCTATCAGTTAGGTACTTTTCGCTGCTTTATAGCTGACTATCAGCATTATGTTTACTTAATTATTATTTTATCATTCTTGTGCGGTTTATCGACTTAAGATCCAAACGCGGCATTTTGTAGTGCTGCTCGGGCTTGCGCTTGCTTTGCAAAAAATTGTCAAACGTGCCTTTCATCGGTCTCATCTTAGTTTCCGCAGACGCAAGCCATCACACACGAAAAGCTAGTTAAATTCACGCCCATTGACTTGCGTAAAATTACGCGACAGTGTAATCCACTTTTAATTTCTCATGATTTCTGTTATTTTTGCTTTGGTCAAAGAACACGACGATCTCAGTTAAGTTTTGTTATCGATGCCAATCTATTTCGTAATCTTTTTAAAGCATTTCTTTCACTCTTCATATAGACAGCGTATCATCTAAAATTAATTTTCAGTTTTCGACAAAGCTTTAGCCCCATAATTTGACAATTTTAATTTTTCTCATCATAGCGTTACCAGATGAGCTTCTATGTGTCGTATTCAAGTATTTTAGTCTTAAAGAGATAATAAACAAGCTAAGGCTCGTATGCAGAAGATGGAGACGTATCTCTGAAAGTGACATGTTGTGGACCAATGTTTGCCTAGATGAATGGGGCATCACTCATTTAAGCGAGGATCAGTTAAAGACAATCATACAGCACGCACGGGGTTTCAGAAATTTCTCAGTAGCCTATATTGATGTCAAGAAACGTCGAGTCAAGGAGACACAATCTATAGCTCATGCTATTTGTAACAGTCTATGTTTGTCTCGTGGACTTAACTATTTAAATTTGAGTGGCCAGTTGGTATCTAATCTGACCTTCTTGCAAGGCACGTGCCAGTTGGAGTATTTGATCCTAAATGATTGCATTGCATTAAAGGACATATTCCCGATTTCTTTTTGTAAAAATTTAACTTTCCTTTCGCTTAACAGGGTAGTTATTCACGAGGGTGAGCTCTTGCAGTCTGTACTACCGCTGTCAAATCTCTTTTTCATCACTGTAAAGGGAAACGAGCTATCTTTAGAGTCACTTAAAGAAATGTGCAAAACACTTTGCAAGGTTTCCGTTCTCAACTTAGACTTTAATACAGTAAATCGATCAGAATTTTTATCCTTAGCAAGCGAATTTGATATCAATGTCAACAATGCTCAAATAAAGGGTGCAGTACGTTGACTCAGTTAAGTCAGTTAAGAAACATTTATCAGATAAAGTAAGCATTTAGCTTGTCAATGTTCAGTTTTCATATCACAGTCTGTTAAAAATCAATTTGACGATTTATCGATAAACGACTTCCTTGGTTTATAGGAGTTTCCCAATTTTCTTCCACTGATCAGCATGTTGTATCCTACTTTGATGTCGGGGACATCGTAAGTGGCAAAGTTGATCCAAGAACTCTTTAGTCCCACGAAAAAATTAAATACCTTAAGAACCATTTCGCTCCGCCTCCTTCATACACAGGCTTTTTCTCCAAGACTGTGGTTGAGGGAAAAGACAAACATACCAAGAAGCTTGTGTTCCAGCCCTCATGGTTGGAAAAGTATACGTGGCTTGTATATAGTCCTTCACAAATGGGAGGTTTTTGCAAATATTGTGTGATGCATAATAATCCACAGATCCTCGAGCACAGAAAAGGCCACTAGTAACAGTTCCATTCCAAAAGCTAGAAAAAGCCACTGGGAAAGATGGGGTACTTGAGCGTCATCAGAAAATGCAATATCACCAGTTGGCACTTGAAGCCGGCATTGCCATAATCCGAAGTGTTCAAAAACCAAAGGAAACCTTGCCATACAGGATTTCCACGCAAAACCAAGAGATATTTGGAAAAAACATGAACGCACTTAGAGCAATCATAAGTACCATAATATTGTGTGGCAAACAGAACATCCCTCTTAGAGACCATCGAGATGACAGCACAAGCACGGCATCCAACAAAGGCAACTTTCATGCCATTCGTATGCTATTGGGCAACTCTGATAAAAATCTTAAAGAACACTTACTTACTGGTAGGAGAAATGCTACAAGCACCTCAAAAACTGTACAAGAGGAGGTCATTCGCATCACTGGAGAGTCTATTCGGGCGAAAATTACACAGCCGATTCAGAGGGAAGACGCTTTTTTCTCAATCATTGGCGATGAGGTAATAGATAAATACGCAAACCAAGAAATATTAAGTGTTTGCCTTAGGTTTTTAGATCTAAACAACGATGTTTCACCTAAAATCAAAGAAGTATCTTTTTACTATGTCAAACATGATGATGATGGTGCCAGTGCCATGTCCTCAGAAGCATGTGGTGTGCAAGGAAGAATAAGGAGAATAGCACCGATGGCACTGTACACTCATTGCAACAGTCACGTTTTGAATCTCAGTGTTGCAGCCGCATGCAGGTTAACTTCCGTCAGAAACATGATTGGAACCTTAAATGAAACTTTCCTTTTCTTTCATTTTTCACCTAAAAGACAGTGATTTCTAGAACAAGTTTTAGAGAAGTGTGGTTCTACTTCCAGAAAGGCTAAAAAAGGCTATAAAAGGCTTATGCAAAACCCGATGGGTGGAAAGGCATGAATGTTACGAGACTTTCTCCGAACTTTACGCGTACGTTTGCATAAGCTTGGAAGCGATAGTTGATCATGGGTCGCATCCTCATGTTTATTCCTCGTTATCGTTCACGTGGGACAGGGAGACTAAAACCAAGGCACAAAGTCTTCTGGCAAATTTGAAGACATTCGGATTCATTTTCACCTTTTTGATCACAAAGAATAGCCTTGGAACACTCAAACCTATTGCAGCCAAGCTTCAGAAGAAAGACCAAGATGTCTTCCAAGCGTATTCTATGATTGATGACACTATTAAAGCAGTTGCCAGAGTGAGGTCAAACATAGAGGAAGAATGTCATGAATGGTTTGAAGACGCATCTATACTAGCTGATAAGATTGGCACTACAGTCTCAGTACCAAGAATCACTGGGAGGCAGGAACATAGGAACAATGCACCTAGCGTAAACCCGGAATCGCATTATCGTGTTAACGTTGCCATACCTTTTATAGAACATTTATTGGAAGAAATGAGTTCAAGATTCAGCGAAGACAACAGGATTGGGGCCGAAATTTTTCCCTTGGTTCCATCTGCCGTGGTGAAGCATGACAGTCTTCGTAATTTCGCAGAAAAGCTGCAATTTTGGCAACAGGACTTACCTACACCGTCCTCTCTTCTTTCTGAGTTAAGGGAATGGCAATACTTTTGGAAACAGTACACACCCACTTTACAGCTACCGGGAAATCTTATTGAGTGTGTAAAATATGCTGATGAGGATATGTACCCCAACATACGAATTTTGCTTATTATTGGTTGTACCCTTCCTGTTAGTTCTGCCGAAGCTGAGCGTTCATTCTCTGGCTTGCGACGAATCAAGTCATATCTCAGAAACAGGATGTCTGATGAGCGGTTGTCAGGACTTGCACTCGTGCACTTACATCATGACCTTGACATTGATGTTGACGAAATCTGTACAATTCTTTTAACCAAACACAAGAGGAGAATGTTCCAAGGGAGCATCCTTTACGAGTAGAATCCAAGTAAACGGTAAGCGGCCAAGGAATTATAACGTGCAACCGCGACTGGTGGGAGGGGGTGTGGGGGGTGTGGGGGAGAAGTAATTTGCCTCAAAAGAGTCCAACAGTCCTTTCTGAACCAGAGTTTGGAACCCCCCAAATCAAAAATTCCTGGATCCGCCCCTGTTTTGTGTTGTTCGTCAATGACTTACCCTTAAATGTCCACACGCAGATCGACATGTTTGCTGATGACACCACCCTCCTTGCTTCTTCCGATTATATAAATGTAGAAGAGCTCAAGAATACTCTCTCACGCGAAGTCTCCAACGTTGATGAGTGGGCAACAAACAACAAACTGCAACTAAATTATTCCGAGACGAAGACAGTACTCATTGATGGACCGCACCTACGAAAACGTTTAAGTAATGAAGATCGCAAGCTCTTCATCGCAAGATGGAGCTCAAGAGAAGCACGTTAGAACAGGTCGAGAGCGTCAAGCTGCTAAGCCTTGAACTTGATGAACAGCTCAGTTTCGATGTTCATATCGACTCTTTATGTAAGAAGATTTCAAAGCGTATCGGCATACTTAACAGAATTAAGGCTTACTTACCAAGAACAGAGCGTATACTTTATTATAATTCTTTAATTAAGCCACTGATATTATATTACAGTGTAACATGGACAAGCTGCTGCAGTCATGACAATATAAATAATATATTTAAGCTGCAGCAACGCTGTGCTCGAATCATCCTAGAAGCCCAACAACGCCATGGCACTATGGATCTATTTAATATTTTCGGGTGGGTGCGATGAGGATTATGGGTACTTGCCCTGCCTTTATAAACGAACTGTTAGAACTAAACAACACCCAGCACAACAGAAATACACGAGGTGCTAACTTAACCATTTCACCTAGGAGATACACCAGAGAAAAAGAGGGAGGCCGCACGTTTTCTTCAACGACCTCAACATGTTGGAATCACCTCCCCCTTAAAGGGCATGTAAACCCAAAAAACGTTCATTTTCTTTTCACATAGATGTTTAGTAAATATATCAAGTACACCAAAGGTACCATTTTTTTTTCTCAAAAGTCCATTTTCACTTTGTAAAAGCTCTTCCAAATTCGAAACATTCGCCATCTTGAATGGTGCCATCTTTCCTGTGACGTCACGGGTGGACCCTACATAGTCTTGTTTTATAATCGCGTGAGGCACGAAGGAGTCTTTTCTACAGCCGTTGTTCGCCGGTCTCGTCATGATTTGTTTGCTTACAGTTTGCTTCAATATATTCAATGGTAAAGCGTTGTATCGTCCAGTTTTGTACTGATTTAAACAAAACAGGGCATACAATGCAAATATTTTCAAATGACGCAAATTTGAAGCGACAATTTGTGAAATTTGTACAAGTGAAAATAGCCGATTTCGTCGGCTCGACGAAATCGGCTATTTTCACTTGGACAAATTTCACAAATTGTTTGTAGCAGTAATTTTTCTTCCTGGTGCTGTACCGAAGATTCAGGCCTTACTAGAAGCAAATTATTCGGAAGTGTAAAAACGACCCATACAGTCGGTAGACGACGAGGATTCGGAAGTGGCCGACCGAACTGAGAAAGAAGTTGAGCTCTTCAAAAGTTAGAGGTCAACGGAGACAGTACAAAATCGATTTACATGAAAACGTTTCGTTAATTAAACAACGATAGCTTTATTGGTTCTCTAAAAACATCTTTTTTCTCATCTAATGAAAGATTATGGGGAAGCCAGTTGTTCGGGAGCCAGCGCTGAGCCCATAAAAGACACTGACTCCTCTGATCCTTTGCCTGAATTCGAAACACGTATCAAAGAAAGAGAATTCGTTGATGTCAGTGTGTAAGAACGTGATCTGGAATTTTGTTGGTTCGATGCAAAGAATTCTATACAGGATCCCATAATCAACCCTTATGTTCTATAAGAAAATCCATGCCAGCCCCACTTGGTGCTTCCTTTGAGAAACCCTGCAGAGAAACAGCAGAAGAATTTGTGTCACGATTTTCACAGCAGTGAAAATACATTCAAAGGTCAGCAGGACAATATTCATCATTTTGAGTACAACTTAAAAGATCCTGATTTCAGCTTGCAAAACTATCTTTTCAGTATTTCAAATCGAAGCAAACACAAACAGGGTTGGATAATTATGAAGGCCTCACAAGGAAATGTATATGGTACAACTTGTTTATCGATAGAAATGCTTCGGAGATGAAGGAAAGCAATACATAGATATCTCATAAAGAACGGGCATAACCTCCAGTGCTGTAAGACATAAATAACTAAGATCTGCATTAACATATACCTTTGTTTCTCTCAAAGGTTTGGCGGTTTTAATCCAGTGTAAGGCGATCCAAAATCCGCTGGAAAAATGTTTCGGATATTGTTTAACGCACAAGATGGCACAGCGACCCTGAAGTGTTTGCCAAGATATTCCCAACACCAACGAATAAGCTATCTGTAGGTAATTTAGCGAAATTTCCTGCCAGGAAAGAAGCGAAAAACAACTAGCTCTAGTATTGTATTATTAAGTCAATGGCAAAAACAACCCAAGAAAATCGATCTCAAAATGTAACAAAACAGATGAAACAGAAAACATTTAGCTTACTCGTTTCCGGTGTGATTATCTGTGCCTTGCTGCTGGGGTGTCTACAAAACGAAGACCGAAAAACGAAGACACTAATTTTTTGGCCCGAATAAGGCACGGACAGTTAAAAAACCAAGCCAAAGCGTTACAGATGTGAAAATAACGGGGATCTTCGTTTTGTAGAAAAGGCCCCCTGAATCTATAAAACCAAGACCCTCACTAAAACGCTTTGTCAGACGCCAATTGACGCGAAATCAATGGGATCTTCGTTTTGTAGAAAAAGCCCCCTGAATCTATAAAACGAAGACCCTCACTAACACGCTTTGTCAGACCCCGGGGAAGGGGGGGGGGAACTCCTATACATTGCCTATAGGGGTATGTGCTGCCCGACGGGGTCATGATTTCGGAGCTAAAACGCCTTGTCAGACTCCAAATGACACGAAATCATTAGAGTCTTCGTTTTGTAGAATTCGAAATGACCGTGTGAATATACAAAACGAACACCTTCGATTGGATAGTTCCCTATGGCAATGAAAGTTAGACACCAAAAGAATAAAATATTGTTTTATTTGTGGTTATGCAATTCTGAAATTATAGAAACTATACACAGGGAAAATGTCTTCGATTCCTGATAAAATTAACAAAATTTTAAATACTCATACCTATTTAAAAAGCATTAACAGAAACTAAAGTAAACAACGATGTGCTAATTATCAAACTACAATGAAATTGAAATCCCCTGTATCACATTTGCAGTGATGTATAAGTATGTATAAAGTATGTAAACAGGTATGCGTGTTCTCCCTACTATTGACATAAGTTAGAATATACGAGGAACTAATTGTACTAGGAAAAATGGCTGCGATCCTCATTTACAGGGTCATTATTCTAACAGCAGTTACAGGGGAAAAAATGGTACTCATGTTTCCTTCGAAATATCTCGTCTTAGTAGCTCGCTTTCAAAGTACACATTTTACCAGCGGGTTGAGAGTGATGCATCAAAGCAAAGCTTTGCGAAATATGAGCACATAACCTAATGTATAAGGCCTATTCAGCCAATTATATTAGGATCAGTATTAAGTCACGCAAGAATGCACAGAACAAAACTTCCTTTACAAAATATGTGCAATTTTTATAGTGTCTTTTTATATTCAGTTATAACCTGTCAGTTTTAAGAATCCTTGTTTGAAAGCGTTAAAAATTGAGGCACAGCATGAAGAAACCTCGGCATCACTGCTTCTATTTAGGAGATTTCAGGCAAGATAAGCACAGTTTCTAAACTCTTATATCTACCTTGATTTAACAAAAGGTACCTAAAGAAATTGATCATAATACTATACTTCTAACATAAAGCTTTTTGCAGAGATCATTCCGTGCGGAAAATCGTATCTCAAGGAAGCGTAAATTACTGTACTATATGTCTTTTCGGACCAACAATTGTATCAAAAGCATATCAATGTAATCGTGAACTCTAAAATTTAATTAATATTGTTTACATAATGAAGTAAAAGCATGTTTGAAAATAAACTTTAAGTGCAAGCGCGTGAGCCGATCTGAAGCTTTCTCAAGCCATGCACGATCTCAAATAAATCAAGGAAAACCGTTTTACATCGCCGATAGCTTCATTTTCGAGGAATTCGGAAATAAAAGCTAGCACCATAGCTGACTCAGTGACAGGTTTCGCATATGGTTTATGTCAGTGGGCGACAGGATCGGAAACTCACGCCCACGAACCGAAGCTCCGTCATAAAATTGGATAGCTTTTCTAAATCAGGAGCTCCGAAATCATGACCCCGTCGGGCAGCACATACCCCAATAGGCAATGTATAGGAGTTTCCCCCCCCCCCTTCCCCGGGGTCTGACAAAGCGTTTTAGCAAGGATCTTCTTTTATAGATTCAGGGGGTCTTTTCTACAAAACGAAGACCCCCTTGATTTCGCGTCAATTGGGGTCTAACAAAGCGTTTTAGTAAGGGTCTTCGTTTTGTAGATTCAGGGGGTCTTTTCTACAAAACGAAGATCCCCGTTATTTTCACATCCGTTTGCGCCGAGGAACGCTTTGGCTTGGTTTTTTAACTGTCCGTGCCTTATTCGGGCAAAAAGATTAGGGTCTTCGTTTTTCGGTCTTCGGTCTTCAGTCTTCGGTCTTTGGTCTTCGGTCTTCGTTTTATAGACACCCCTTGCTGCTGCCTGTACGCGCAATTGGCCGTCTCCAGCACCCAGAAATCAAGGCAAATTGACTGAAAACCTGGATGCTCAGTGATACAACTTATCTGGGTTTCAGGCCCTTGCTACTCTACTTTTTGCCACAATTGCCCGATTTCTGTACAACAAACACTTTCATGAGTTGTCGGCATTGGTTGACAAGTTCCACACTCGCACCTTTGATAATTTTATATAAAACACTCTCAGAAGCTCAAGTTTAAAAAATTTCTGTTGCATTCTTTTAGATTGTACCCTCGCTTTATTGGATTTTCATGTCAAATACAAATAAATCACACAGTAAATTAAATACCAGTCTGAGTTTCCGAGACGGTCGTATCGCTGTCGACATGTTCTGTACTGTCTTCGTGCGGATCGCTTCGGTGAACCCTACGCGACTCATATTGTTAAGAACGTGGCCCAGACTCTCCTGAAGATTCTGGATTATCCTCATCGCTGTCATGTACCAAGCTTAAGGCATTCGAGTCGCTATCTTCTGAAAAAATATCTTCCAAACTACCGCCACTTACACGAACTCCCACACCAGTTCTATTGGGGAATATGTGTTGCGCAATATTTTAGTTCCACCGCTTACGTCACGACTTCTCGCTATTGTTTTTACCGGAAATGGAATTTCAGTTGAAAATGCCGATTTTCTCCTAAAATAAGTCGAATTGGACAAAACGAATTTCAAATTCGTTTTCTACGCCACTTTTTACACAGTAAGAAAAACATGTATTTTTGGGTTTACATGCCCTTTAAGCTACGCACTTCTCAATCTGTAAATACTTTGAAGAATGCTTTATATAAACATCTTAAATTAGGTTAGCTTAGGGATAAGACTTTTACTCCTTCTTCAGATAATTATTCCTTAGATCGCATTATCTGAGCAATATGTTACACCTTTAACTTTTAGATCTTGATTTGTTGTACATTGTGATTTTTAATTAGGTTTTAATTTAAATCTTAATTAGGTTATTAATTATAATAGGTTTTTTTCATTGTAACAATGTTTATAGAGGGCCACAAGTTAATTTGTTTTTAGTTATTAAGTGTCACCCTCTTTAAATAAAGTTTGATTGATTCATTGATTCATTGAACAGTAGTGAGTGGAGCGACAGAATTTCGTTGTGGAATACGAACAGTGGATTCCGATTTTCGAGTCTCCATAGGAAATGAAAATCAAAATTAGTAAAAGTCAACCCAATCAGAAATTGGGTGGACTGGGGGAGGGGGAACGACTTTTGGTTCGAGTAATCGGGTGTTACGAGAAATCGAGGACCCAAGCAATCGGGATTCCACTGAAGTGAAAACAGTAAAGCTTTCACGCGTTTCTCACCTACTGTTAGCATATCTATCATTTCCTCTTTCACTCCTTTTTAAGGAGAAAAACAGAAATCAAACGTAATCAAGTTTCACAGTTCGTTTTTATTCCACAGTTTAGCGCTTTCGTTCACGTGAACAAAAATCCTAAGTTGTGAAGGGATCATGTGAACAAGATAACATCAATACGCATGTTTTGAACTAAAACAAACTCTAGCAATGGAACAGAAGTATCATCTATTTTTACTAGAACGTCAATGATGATGTTTTCGCTCAGTTTTGTTGGGGAGTCCAAATCCGCGGAGAGGGGGGGTCCACATCCGCTGACGGATTTGGACTGGGGGGTCCAAATCCGCTAGGACACCTGCTCAAGGCAATCTTAAAGCGTCAAAATCTTCACAAACTCCGACAGTCCATTTCCTGTTCTCTTTGGTTTTCAGCTCGTAATAATTTCGCCGTTTAACATGTTTAAAAGTCTTTGTTCGTTTCTTCTGTGGCTACTTGTGATCACTTGTCTGTACTAATTTTATTGGTTTCTGTATAGTATATACGTAAACAATAATTCACTTCAGTGTCGGTGAAAGTGCTGGATAGTTACCCCAAGTGGTGTTCCCTATTTTTCCAACCTTTTGTCCACCACACATAAAGTCCGCTTAAAATTTCATTCAATATGAGATAGCGTTTAACGCTAGTCGTTCCAAAGAACATCTCACGCAGAAAACGGTACACTGTTTGTTAACAATTTTTCCCGCGCGTTGGCAAAACTTAATGAAGAACAATAAACACAGTCATTGTCTCTGTTACTACTGTCACTCTCTGTTACTGCTGTCACCCTCTCTGTTACTGATGTCACTCATTAACTGCTGTCACTGTCTCTGTTACGGCCGTCACTCTGTAACTGCTGTCATTGTCTCTGTTACTGCTGTCACTCACTGTTACTGTTGTCACCCTCTCTGTTACTGCTGTCACTCATTAGCTGCTGTCACTGTCTCTGTTACTGCTTGCACTGTCTCTGTTACAGCTGTCACTCTGTAGCTGCCATAACTGTCTGTTACTGCTTTGACTGTCTCTGTTACTGCTGTGACTGTCTCTGTTACTGCTGTGACTGTCTCTGTTACAGCTGTCACTGTCTCTGTTACAGCTGTCACTCTGTAACTGCTGTCACTGTCTCTGTTACTGCTGTCACTGTCTCTGAACCGACGTCATTGTCACTGTAACCTCTGTAACTCCCAATTGCTTCTGTCACTCTCTCCATTAAAGCTAGCTGTCACTGTAATCTTAAATATCCATATCATTGCCTGGGTGTTCCACAAATTCTTGAGATACACAAGTCAATTAATTGGTAACCTGGTATTCATTGGTATTCATTACAATATGACAGATAAGTTGAGGTAGGATTTTGCAGTTGCTATCTTCATGTGTGCACAAAGCTATCTGGTTGACTAACTCCTTTATTTACACAGTTTAGGGAAGAATATTCCCAATTTTTTCCTCTTTAGAGATTATCTACAGGTGAATTTGTGTCACTTTTTTCTTTTTTTTTATGTTACCCTAAGCATTATTACAAAGAATCTTAAATAGCACAAAATTATTACAAAGAATCTTAAATAGTACAAAAATAAATAGTAAGTGCCCAAAAATAACTGATTTTTGTAGGAAGGTTCTTTTAACTTGAGAAATTTGATTATGACCACATAATACAACATATGCAAAAAACATAAATTATCAGCAAGCATAACACTGAGTGAATTGCACTCTAGAGGGGAAAAAATAGCAAGCAAAGTAGATGTTTTTTAATCTGTTAGGTCATCTTTCCTCTTTTGTCAAACAAAAGTAACATGTCAAAAATCAATTAGTTTGTTGCACTTGAATCAGAGGCTGAAAAAAGACCTCTGTCACTAAACAAAAGGTAGTCAAAATAGCCTCAAGGCTGAGGTTTTAACCCATAGTTCGCAGGAAAGAGAATCTGCTCATGAATTTGCAATGAAGTCACTAAGTTAGATTTAGAACAACAGCAAATTTCCTCCAGTTTCCTTGTTCAGGTGTCCTCAGATCTCCTACAATGTCTTCTGGTCTACATCAAGAAAATAGTCATGAAAACAATTATTTCATGGAAAAAAAAGAAAGAACCAAACAAAACTTGAAACAATGTCATGCATAACACAGATATGTACAACCAAAGCAGAAAACTTTTTTTTGCCAGAACATGCAAAACAACCAAAATGAGAACACTCTGAGGGAGTAAAATTGGAATATTGAGGAAAATGCAGATATTCTCTCACTTTTAGGGCTTTCACCAGGTAAGTCTGATGCTTAAATTGGTTTTAACCTGTTCACTTGACTGCCTCCTTTCCCAGTCAGAAAAGTAAACTATAAGCTGTAAATCATAGTGAGGCAAACTTACAAAGACTAAACATTTGCATTTGAGAGAGAGAGAAACTCAGTGAGAGATCAATGATCCATAAAAAATGTCCAGTTATCCCTACTAAGTCTACCCTCAGACTGTATTCATATTGCTTTAGGACAGTGTATATACCACATAGGAACCAAAAAACTAGTTTTGTTCTGACAACATACAGAAAAATGGGTGGAAATTAATTGATTGTTGATGTATCCAACATACCTTAACTCTTTTTTATTATGAAGGATATGAAAGTTCACTGCTGGTATCAACAGTCTTAAGGCCATTCTCATCTTAAGAGAGTCTACTGTTTCCATTTCCCCAAGAACAATCCTGTTGGATACAATATATTTGTTGTCTTCTCAATATCTATTTCATAATAAGTGTACAGAAAGCAAATTTGTAATAGGACTCTCAATTTAGATCTAAGACAGTGCACTTTAAGTTTACATAATAATAATAATAATAATAATAATAATAATAATAATAAAATAATAACGTCAATTAGGCACTCCCCTTGTAAATAAACAAAGTTTGAAAATCCCAACTAGCTGAGGATTTGAACTGGGAACAACTAAGAACAAATTCAGAGAGTAGCAGCGTGGAATTCTTGAATCTGGGTACCACCAGATTATAAGTCCAGTGCTCAGTAACCACTCGGCCACATTGCCTCCCCAATTATAGTATGGGCTATAAACACTCATGTACTTAGTATACAATACCTCAATTTATATTTATCAGCAACAGAATCTGTCAGTTCTGGAGAATCTGCTCCAGTCATTACACTGTCTGAGTCTGTAAAATCATCCTCACCTGATGTATAAATTAAAAAAAAACTAACTTGATGACAGTTGTTTATATATGTTGTTCTACAAGAAGTTTAATGTAACTCTTTCTTTAAACATAGTCAGCAGCAGCCAATGAACCAGCAGAATGGATGTCCTAAAGGAACAGCAGTTTGAAGATAGTGAGACAGATTTTTTGACCCCCCCCCCCCCTTCCATTATGATGTTTAACAACAAATATAGCCCACTAAGGTGCGTGACTTTGCCCTAAATGTAATGACATTGCCCCTAAAAGGCTATTAGATTCATTAATTCTGTCAAAGGTAATAAGGGGAAAACCAATTCAATGTAGCAGGTTCACCAATGTGATGTTGTGGGAAAATTTTCAAAGAGATTGCAATGTGCTTTGCTTCTTTACATACTCTACTAGTGATTGCTGATAGACCTAATTCTACAGCTGAATCTGATTATGATCTATATCACGCCATGGTTACCTATCAAGCAAATGCAGGGTGGCCTCTCCCACCCATAAGATAAGGGCTTTTGAATTTAATACATGGGTAACTGCCCTAGTTACTTTTGAAAGGCAGCATCATCCTTGCAATAACCAAAGGGTGACTAAAGGGATAAACTGAGAGCATCCTAGCCTTATCCCCAGCTTTCTCCAACTCTTCCAAAGCCTTAAACAGTCACTATGTGAGAGGGGTAAGTTAATGTTTTAGGACTGTTAATTTTAGGCATGTACCACTAATTCCAAAGGAAACGCCTGGTGGGCATAAAACATCACATTTTGAGAACATACCACTATGGATAATCACCACATTAACAACTCCACTTAAACTGTACATCACCTGTTGGGTTGCATACTGTCATGATTCCTGCAACTGTACAGTCATGTACTTGGAGTTCCTACCTTTCTTTTCCTGGATGATTACAGTTGTAATTGGCAAATTTTTTTCCTGCCAGAATTTTTATTGTCTCCCTTATTGACAGATTATTCAAGCAACCTTGAACTTTTAATTTTATTTTAAATTGTTGTGTCAGATAGGTGTGGTGCAGTGTTTGGCACACATGCATAACCATATGAGGAATCAATTTCTAACCTTGGTCAGCAAAGGTCAACTCATAATACAAGTTATTGGCCTTCCTATAGGATTCTGGCCAATTGTAGCCTTTCCCTACTGGCCTGTGGGGTTCTTGCTTGATTCCTTCATCTTTAGCGGACAAGCTTGTCCCATAAACATAGTATAATCGCTTTACTTTACCATCTTTCTTTGGTCCTTTGAACACATAATGGAATTTAAAGCTGTCTTCGGGTCTCACTTCAGCATCTGCATTCAGAAAAACACAATTCACAGGGTACTTTGCAAAAAAAGTAATATAAAGGCTCTTTAAAAAATGGAGAGTAAAAGTGATATATTGATTTTATCTTTGTTATTCAATTTTTGCAAAAGTAAAATCTACTACAATGGAAAAAATATTTTTGATAGCCATTGCTCATTTACTGTACAAGTAGTGCAACACTCAATATACATGTAGTATACCTTAACTTATGTGATGCTCTTAAATGCAACTCTTTAATGAAGCACTTAAATGAGATTAAATTGAATTGCAGAAAATTGTCCACATTTAACATGCATGCAAAAGAGAATACAGTAAAATCAAGTGTACACTCGCATGTTATGGTGAAGAAATGTAAAATGATTTCCGTGTTTACATAGCCTTATGTAAACACACAGGAGGTTGGGAGAACATGAGATAAGAGTAGGAAACTATGATGCAAAGCGGACTGGTTTCCAGCTTATCAAGAAACACGGAAACCACTTTACATTTCTTTTATAAAATAACTAATGAAAGAGGAACAAAAACCATGTTTACATACGCTCATGTAAAATGGTTTTATGGCCAATCAGAGCGTGCGTACTATTTGAATTATTTTATAATTCAATTTTATCTGTGGTTCTAATTATATTTCCTTTCTTCTAACCCTTTCACTCTCAAGACATAGTTTCTCCTTACAACATCAATACATAATTAACCAGACAAGTGACGAGGAAAAAAAGAAAAAGATTTACTTTGGGATTATTAATTGATCCAATACTGAATTCTCAAATTAACGTCATAAGAATTGTATGACAGACAGTAAAGAGAATTACTACTCAGATCTTGGGAGTGAAAGAGTTAGATGCTATCACAGAATATATGCATCACCAACCCAAAACAAACAAAACACCAATTCAAACCCAGGATAAAATTGAAACACAAAAGTAAAACTTAATTTAGGTTCATCTTTTTCCATTCACCCACACATACGTGTTTTGGAAATGATTGAATTTTTTCATGTTTAGGAACACCACTTGCATTAAGTTCATCAGTCAAATCTGTGTATATGAGTCATACCTTCGCTGAAGTCATCAAGCCTAGGATGATAGAAGTATCCTGTTTTGACTTTCATATTTTCCTGTTCTCTCTTTTCATCTGGGAGACGATAACGAACTGTTCCATGTCCTAAATCGATCAAGGCTGGGGAATCTAACATCAGTTGCTGTTGATTTGATGTTGAAAAAAAAGGCTTTTTTTGCAAATAGGCATGACTGTGCTATGTGATTCATATATCAGGTCTGAGAGTGCGTAACGGGGAGCCAAGCAGGCAGGTCTGACTTACAACATGTCTTCGGACAATGGTGAGAAAGATAAAGTGGCGAAGACTCAACAGCTTGAAACTAAAAGAAACCCATGCAGGATTTAAAATCCTTGGAGATTAAAGGAGAAACATGTTTAAGAAACCGTCCGATTTTTATCGCCAACATCTAAAAAATAGATTCCATGATGTCGAGCAGCGTCTGGTCAGTACCAGAGCACAGATGGTCAACTGGCTAGCAACGTTTGTATTTGTAAGTTACATACGATACTGTTTGTCTTACCCCGTTTTCTTTGGCAAGTGCCTCAGCCCTAGGACTAATTAGGTCCGAGTCTCGTCTATTTGCAGAAGCAGCCGTTCCCATCTGGTTGGAAAGTCTCCAAAGTCTAGATCACTTCGCGAAATAACCTTTCGAGCGGCGCCATCTTGTTTTCCTGCTTATCTAGTAACCAAGCAGCCTCTGAGGCACGCATCTGATGTGACGTCAAATATATCATTCAGTGCAGGAGGCAGCACAACTTCGTTCTCAGGGTCCTCTCTCTTTCTCACTTACGCGATTACTTACGCGAGAATATAATTAGTGTCAAATTATCACATACAAGCAGTCAAAGTAGGGCCTATTTACCTATCGTGACCTCAAGGAACTCAAGGTCTGGTGTCATAGCTATCGAACCCCTTGAAACGCGACGGAACAAGCTTTGGATACCATTATGCCTCCTAAACGAGATTTCAGATCGAAAAAAAGTTTGAATGCAATAACTTTTAAAGGAAGAAAAGCTGTAAGAATGTCGAAGGTTAGTGTTCCTGTTCGCTATGCCGCCCAGCAATTTACTGATTCAACGCCTGTGACGGCCAGATGTTCTCTAAACACGGGGAGAGGTTTTTCTCAAAACCAAGAAGACCTTTTTCATGTTGACGACCCTCGTGGCTTGAGAACTAACAAAAGGTCAAAAGTTAGAAAAATTCGGCTGAAGCACAAACTGAAAGCCTATCATTAGAGGAAAGCCACGTTGGCTGCACCCAAGCTCAGCGCGAGAGAGCAGCTTGTCTTATCATTATTGACAAGACTGTGACATGCTTTGCCTTTAGGGCAGATCTGTGTTATTCCTTTTGCAAAGGAGACGCATGCGGCTGATACCTTAACTGCAGTCCGAGGTAATTCTTGTGAAAAGAATATCGAAGTAGTTCGCAAAGGAGGTAGATCACCTCACCATCCGGAAGTTTGGAAGGTGAGTTGAGGATTTATGGAGCACAATCCGCACCAGTCATCTTTCAGTTACATTGTGAAACCCAATTTCATGTGTACTCTGGCCGTTAGGCATTTTCGTTTGTCAGTATGTTGGTTTGTGGTTCGTCTCTGCCCTACTACTTAACTTGATGATGTTTTTCCATCTTAAATGTGAATGATGTCGATAGAACCTGTCTCGCTCCTATACAGAGGAAAAAGAAAAAGCAGTGAGCATACTGTAGCAGTCAATTCGATCGAGAGCAGTTGACTTTATTGATGCACTTTCCTGTAATAGGCGAGTGTTTGGGATGGAGAACGACGGATTTTGAAGAACTGTATGGCGACCTAGGTCAATGATCAATGACAAAAGAACTGGCTCGGGAAGTAAGTGGTTTTTATTTATCGAGTCCCTGTGAGGTTTGATGAATAGCAGAATCAGTACTGAATATGTCTCGATCGAGAGCAGACGGGACCATGAGCTCCTGATTGTTATATTTTAGAAATTTTACAAATTTCCATACAGTTTCTTATATTATTTGGACGCCATTATGGACGAAATGCGCAAGCGCGGCCGCCATCTTGTCCAATATTTCTGCCGCAGATCAGTTTGATGAGTGTGTCTGGACTACACCTTAAAACATGGATCATGGATATGTGATATGTCGGAGCACCAATCACCAAGAGCTTCAATCAGTTCAAAAGGAACGCCAGATTGGTGATGCCCCACCCCTGCGAAATGAGTGCCCCGAGAAAAGCCTAAGGTCGAAACGATCAACTGTCTATCACGTTACTTGATTAAAGAACTTTTACATCATTCAGTAATCCTACAGTAACATCACTAACATAAAATGTACAAGTACTTTTATTATGTTACTCAATATACTAGAACAACAGTCAGAGAAAAGACTTAACCCTCTACCAACGGTAATACGTTTAATTGCCTCGAGATAAAAAAAATTTAGAACAAATTTAATGTAATTGGCAGAATTTTGGTTTCAGACAAAAAGTGAAAACACTCACAAGTCAATTAGGGTAGGGTGGTGGTTTGGACCCTCCGAATCCTCCTCCTTAACCTGCTAGTGAGCCCGCATATATATATATATATGTCCTAAACAAATGTGGGGGCAGAGTCTACCTTGGCATAAAGTGCTCAATGCTGTGGTAGCAGAGCTGGGTATATATAAGTGAAGGAATCAAAGAGGACGCATCGATTCTCTGTTACTCTGAGTTTCACGCCTAAACGAGCGCTTAAGCGCGAAACTCAGAGTAACAGAGAATCGATCGTCCTCTTTGATTCCTTCACTTATAAAGATATATGTCCTATATAACAGGCTTGTCGGGAAATGTAGTTGCGTCCTTTTTTCCTCTCATAATATTTATATGTCCTATATAAATATTTTAAGAGGAGAAAAGGACGCAACTACATTTTACTTTGCGAAGCCATTGTCATGAAAGAAGAGGTTTCTCAGTTTTTAAAGCAAATCCTAGGAGTAAAGGAAAAAAGCAGGCTTGATGTGGAGAGGCTTAGTCAGATATTTTAAGTTGCATCTCGGGTGTACACTAAAGGAGGTAAGTCTACTCGCAAGGTCAATTTAAAAGTAATCAATAAAAATTTTTTGCGGCAAAATATGGTATGGTTACTTGTCTTGGCATGTGAAAACGTTTAATATAACTAATAGTGCCTCTTTTCCCCTAGCGTCTTGCTTATAATGTCAACAATGTCTAAAAAAGAGAAATAATTTCAGTATAAACATTCGTCTCAAGATGTAGTAACTTCGGGTTTGGATTGTGATCCACACCCGAAGTGACCACGTCGTGAGACATACGATTATATTTCCCTTGTGAAAGTGTTATTTACCACGATAACTCACCAAAGCCTTTTTTACGATGTCATTTCTGAAAAGGATCACAATCCTTTTACAACTTTTACGATACACCCAGGAGTTTAAAAGTACCAAAATCATTTTCGTCTAGTGAATTAGTAGTAAAAAAAAATGATTAAAATAACCTTAAAAACAACATGCTATTTTGGAGATCCCTGCAAAATAAGAAGATCTGAATTGTGCAGGCTATCCTTAATAGGTAAGTTTAAATTGAACAAAGCATTATCTTCCTTCCTTTCAACTGATAGCATCTATACTGAAAGAGTTAAGCCAGGGATTTTGGAAGGCTCTCACATGAGTCATTAGACACATATGATTTTTTTCTCCGACGGGTAATGCTCCCATGGATCTAATTAAAACGTGTTGCAAACATTTCCATGCAATATTGAAAGTTGACAACTGGTATTAACCATCTGAACTTATTTAACAAATAGAAACTTAAATCATCATTTATCTGCCCATCGACAGGTGATACTAAATTTTGGGTCGTTTCTTTCCGGCTTTGACATATGATCTTACAAGCGCAAAACAAACTTGTTGAAATTCAAGTACCTGAAGGTGAACATGCATCTTTTGCACCAATTCCGATTCCATCAAGCATACATTTCTAGACTATATCGTAACTTCAACATTTTTCACGGAGGCCTTAGAGTCGTTTAACAAAGCAAACAGCAGTAAGGCCTCTTCCCTCCCCCCAGGAGAAGCCAGCAAGTTGATAAATTGTCGTTCCATAGTTATGAAAATTTTGACCTCATGCTGTTTGGGTGGTGTATGATATAGTCTGAAAACTAGTTCTGCTAACGCATAGTAGTCAATAATTAGTAATTATTCTGCATTAGAGGTCTTAGAAGAAAAACCTACATTAAGAGCCACTAGCTAAACCTATTTGTAATGAACTGTAGTCTAGGCGAAAATATTTGGACTTTCCACTGTCCAGTGGTAGAAAGGTCTAAAAATCCAAATGGTGCCGGTCGCAAACAGTGGCTTGTGAAGAAGATTCATCAAAAGGCGATCATTAAACAAGAATAGCGCGTACCAATGCATTGTTCTGTCTTAACAGTCGTAAAGAATATGGATAAGAATGATTCGACTGTTCAAACAAGTCGTTGAATACTGTGGAACCTAGTAATCATCTTGGTAAACGATGTGGATAGGGATCTCATCCACTAAACTCTTAAATGCCGTCATATTGGCCACACGATAGAAATGCACATCGGTAGAACTTGGAATTAAAAGCAGTTCTTCAATTCTGGGAATCCTATTGCCGACAGCAACAACAAACAATTCAGCTCCCAGGTTTTTTATTTGCATCGCTACCCAAATCAGCCTCTGAAGTTTGATCGTCTCAGTAAGAGTGCGCTCACACGGCCCTGTAGTCACAAGTAGCACTTTTTTACGACTGCCGTCACGCACCCCTGAATTGTGGTTAAGTAAAAGCATATTTTGTGCGGCTTGTAATGCATCAAAGGTGTTTCTCTTCCCTCCTTGATATCCTACTTTACCGAAGCTCTCAATGGCTACCTGGTGAGAGAAAAAAACGGATAAAAGAAAGAAAAACACAGGGATAAAAAAAAGACATCTTGAGAGCAAAATTAGTACAACGGTTCGACATAACTACGATTGCGTTCATTGAGAGGAAAGTCAATGCCTATAAATTTGGTGAATTATGAAAAGAAATAGTGACTTAAAAAGCTCGATTCTCATTGAAGCTGAAACTTCGCTGTATCATATCAGTTACACATTTTACACTGAATCATGTCGTTCATATTTATCATTATTCGCACATTTTACTCTGAACGTTCGTATTGGAAATGGCATAATGAAACCGATTTTCGAAGCGATCTCAATAATGCCAGAAAAATACGGCAAGGGTGTAAAAAATAAACTTCTGGGAAATTGTACTCAAAAGCGCCCCTTTTACTTCTTATATTATGAGGTGGTTTGGACGGAACTCGATTTGTAATACTGCACACTTTGCCTGAAATATAAAAGCTATATCTTGAAACCTCTTGAATTATCCTACAAGTTTTAAGTCACAATCGCGCCCGCGTCCACTCAATGAAGACGTCGGCGAAATGCCGATTTAATCAAATCTACTGTAAATACGGTAAGACGAAACACCGTGTCGCACATTGCAGAGAACGGCATAGAACAGGCACGCAGAGTAAAGTAGGGATCGATTATTGTTTTTTAAAACTCAAGTCTTACCCTGGCAAAATGAAAATTGAAGCTGATGGTAGCATTGGTCCCAAATATTATTGATGCAAATTGTGTGTCAGGATCGAACCTCGTCACCAAATTTTGTGCTGTTATAACACTGAGATTAAAGTTTTCCTCAGAGAGAAACTTGGATGAGTCGAGAATGAAAATGATGTCGTGATATGGAGTAAATCGCTTTCCCCTTGTGTGGTCTCGACGATCTAGAAAATATTTCATGAGGTATTCCTTGATTTCCTGTAACGGTGGAGTCTTCTGAAAACCTGGAAAACGAGGAAGTAATTCTTATATGTAATGACATCTCTGAATACGATTAGGAGAGCCGGTGATATGTGCTAAGCCAGGTTTTGTAAACTCTGTTAGCAATGCGTGTAAGTCACGAAGATGGCATATAATGGCACTCATTGTTACGTCACATTCAAAGTGGCTAAATCACGCTGCGAATATGCGCACCTATTTCTATCGGTTTCTTTTAGTTTTATTCATGGACATGGACATAGGGAAGAGTTATGTGAGGATTTGACATGAAAATTTCACAGCGTTTGCCTCGCCTTAGGAGTGTGGGGGTTACATAAATCTTATTTAATTATATAGCTGGTCAGTTAATCCAATTTTGCCAGCGCAGCTATTATCCTTTAGTTTCTGAGAACTGTCCAATTAAGGATTAAATTGGATAGTTTCACTAAGGATTTTGAGTTAAAAAATTCACATGCTATCCTATTTAAGAAAAATAGGACAGTTTGCCCAAGCCAATCAACTCCAAGCAAAAACATGCGATGGAAATTAGCCAATCAGCACAAAGCATAGCGTCAGCTCTGTAGACTTGTTGTGTTGTTGTTTGACAACGGCGGAATTTAGCGAGGAAGATTTGCCCAATTTTCCATTTCCTTAGATCTTTTCAACAATGGTGACGCAAATGAGAGATTTCCTTCGTTGCCAGAAGAGGACCTTATTAACCTAAGAAGCAAAAACCAGAATCAAAAAACCCCCAAGAATACAAAAACTTGGGTAACCGTTTTCAGCGAGTGGAAAGTACTGCGCGGAGAAGCGAGAAAGTTTTAAGGTACCCCTCGTCATGAGCTGAATGCAATTCTTTGCCGTTTTTTCTTTGTAATTCGAAAGAAGGATGGCGATGAATATGAACCAGATAGTCTGGCCATCATGCAGTGCTCGTTGGACCGCCATTTGAAAAAGTGTAGCAGACACTACAGTATCTTGCGAGATCGTGAATTTACAAATTCAAGACAACATCTTGAGGCGAAAGTAAGGCTGTATAAAATGACAAGCTACATGATTAATAAATAAGAGGTCTACATGTTTGTTCAATTTGGAAACAATTAGATTTTAAAAATTCTACTTACAGCCAAATTGGACTCGGCCTACAGCCTCGTTCAATTTTGGCTTCCTCAGAACTTTTTTCATCTAACTATTTCCAAAAAGGAAAGCATGTAGTGCTAATGGTATTCAAAGAAGAAGAATTCCGACTTCGGCATTTTGGAAGACGCAAGTTCTATACAATAAAAATATACGATCTCAAACAGAAAGAAAAAGGGAATAAACATATAGCTTCAGCTGCTCTCTCAGATAACACTATTGTACGACCAAGAACTGTTAAGAACGTCGTCTCCCGTGAGGCTCTGCTGAATATGATTTGGTTCAACAACAAGAACCACGCGTGTTAGGAGCACCAAGATATGTGTTGGGGTGGCGTGCAACTACGCTAAAAAACAAATGAAGAGGAATTTTTAGAGTATCCGAAGAGAAAAACTCGAACTGGCGAGAATCTCCGATTTGTTAGACGTATAGAACTGAAAATGTTCCTTGAACCGAATGTGAAAAACCATAGCGGTCGCAAACCATGATTCAGGCTTTCACAAACAACGATATCACGGCGAAAAGCTCAATTTCTCTATCAGGACCCAAAAACCTTCGAAGTGTAGAAAATTAATCCGTTGTTCCTGAACAACAGCAAGTAAAAATGTCTCAAACTTTGGGTGAATGAGCACAGGGAGAACGCTTGATGTAGAGAAATCGAATTTATCTCAAGATTTTGAATGTTCTTCGACCACAGTTCCAGTAAACTAGTGCGGCCGCATATTATCAACACGGCCAGCAAGCAATGTCGCTCTTTACCGGTGCTGTCATGCCCCATGGTTGGCGGGCGCGTACGATTTTTATCCATGAGTTGTGAATAATCGCAAAAGAACGAGATGTTGAATTGGCCACCAGTAAAGAACCGTTGAGTGTCGATAAATAAATTTTAGCACTTCATTATTATAATCAATATCATTAGTATTGTTATCATTATCATCATCATCATCATCATCATCATCATCATTATTATTACTATCATTATTATTATTACAATTATATATATGTGTTGGTTGCATACTTTGAAATCTCATAGATCTCATCCCTACGTGGTAGCATATATCATTGTAGGTCTAACCGAGGGGGACTCACATAAATAAGGCAAGGGACAAAAATTAAGTGTTTTTCAAACGGTACCAATAAAAAAAATGTATCAATGCCATACGGCAAGACGAATGATAACGTTTGTTTTTTGTGTGTAAACTCATCGATATCTATCAGAGCTGGTAGATGGTACGGCTGGTATAAGCGAGAACAAAGCGTAGTCTCCTTCGCAGCCGTTGTTTAGTCTCGTCACACATCGCACTTTCTACCCTTGACCTCGGCTATGCGTGGTAAAACCCATGCGAAAGGAACATGACCCTGATTGCAATTTATCCAAAAGCGCCATGTACCAGCAAAAGCGCATATTCGAAATTCCAGCAATGTACCTTTGAGTGAACAAGATACGGAGGGGAATTTTATATCGCTAAATCATAATAAATACGTTTCACTTTTGTTGAGAAATTCGGTGTAAAGTAACTTACAGTCTCATCTCTGACATACCTCCCCGCAATGTTACGAGGAATAAGTCTATTTTGAAGTAAAACGGAAGACCGTTGTAAGTCGACCTGGTTAGCAGAAATTCATGATCATCTTGACGTGTCTATTCTTACTATTTGCATGAGCAGTTGATCTACTCTGACTGCTTGACGATATCCCTGCATGTTTAAGTGAACTTACTTTCATAGACATCTTCCTTCGTCTGCCAAATATTTCCTTCGCTAGTCAGCCCTATGGTGATAATCAACAGTACCCTCCACGTTAAGTTTGACATCGTCTAAATTCGAAATCTTTCACCTCTGTACTTCAATTTTCACAGTTCACAAGTCGTGTGTAATATCTACACAGTTGTCCATCTGTTTATTTTTTGAAAAAGTGGCGTGACATTCAGAAACGATACGATGGACAGCAACTGATTGAGTAATATCATTCCACAATTTCCGTTAAATAGTTAAAACATCAGAGGGTTCGAATAACCACAGTGTTATTTTTAGTCTCTGGTATGTCGCAGATGTAGTCTCCTTTGCAGCCGTTCCCTCGGATGTCACATAACGCTTTAAACGATCGTCAAGGACACTATGTGGTGGGCTAAATCAGTGTATATACATGTCCAATACTTAGCAATTATTCACCGAAGTGGAGGTGAAGAGTGGTGGATATTTACAAAGCCGCAAAACGGTATGGTAAATATCCATCAACCTCAATGACACTAAGGTGAATAATTAGGCGGGTTCATACTTGGCATTTCAAGTGCACTTGAGGAGGGGGACATGGGGGGTTCTGAATACCGCAACACAGCAAACAAAATAGAACACCGCATCACCGCAAGAAATATTATCAACACACCGACACCGCAAAATTTATCTTGTCTAAATGTTTTTTTTTTTAAACGTCAATACCATTACTTCTACTTTTCAAACACAAGAAACACATCACAAAACATTCCTATCGCATTCTCCGTGTGTAAAATTCCTTGCTGTGGCCTACACTTCATTATAAATACATGACAGCTAAGATGAACCAAAGAAGTTACTGCTGCTAAGTGAAACGACAGTGTTGCCCTAAGGTCAGTCTTGCGTCCTCTGAAATTAGAATATATTCCCACAAATAATGAAGAGCGCAGTTTGTTCCCTCTCATCTCGCGACTTTCTTCGTCTAGTTTTTTTGCTTCAAGTCCATTTTCTATTTCACAAAAAAAGGTTATACAGTTAGTCATCGTGGTGACTAACACTAGCAGGTTATCGTTTGTCTATCGATGTGGTCGACGACGATTCCGACTGGTTGTGCTTCATCTTACAAAGAACCGGGTGGTTCGCTGTCATTCATTGGTTTAACAACAGCTGTGATTGGCATATAAAGTCAGGGAGAGTGCCATGTTTTGTTACGGTCCTCTTCTGGCGCACTGTCCGCTGTCGCAATGCTGCTCCATACGCCGAAGCCCAATTACGCATAATATCGCAATTTGCTTTAGACATATCGACGATGGGAAGTGGCTTTATCAAAGGGACTTTACAAAATGGTATTGTCTCCTCTGGTTTAGGGTACCATGACTTCCTCTTGTATGATAAAACGCGGCCCATTGTGTCACCCTTTTGACTGATTCTTTCATGGTAAGTTCAAAGGATTTAGGATACTACATCATGGACATGTTCACTTGTTTGATATGAACAGAGGAATGGCAATTCTCTACGTCCAGTGTCATACAACGCAAGAGATTAGTTGAACTTTGATTGAACGGTTGCAAATTACTGTACAATCTCTGCAGCCCCCATTCAAGAAGTGCAACTGAGGCCACGGTCCTTGCGGAAACATGACCCTGAGGTCCATTAATAGCGCTTGTAATGCCAGTACTCATTCGGATCTCGTTGGTTTTCCTCTCTAGAAGCTCTTTACACTGGCGGACAAGGGAGAGCGTTTCATCGGGAGACTTAATAGAGTAACCTGTTCCTTTACAATGGATGGAAAAGGCGTCAAAAAGCTGACCAACAGAGTTGAGAAATTTGACGCATTCGACCATTTTAGTGGTGGTCTTGATGGAATTTGTCTGGGCATCACAGGTGTAAATGACGCTTTCAGACTCCGTGCAGATACCCATCGGTTGTCGAAACTAGCAATCCTGTACTTTCCCATCCACAGTACCTTCCTTTCTTTCGCAGCAGGCAAAAACTTCGACCTCTCCATTATTCTTGATCGTACACAGAGCAGCCCGGTTTTGGTTACCAGAGAGGATTAATTTGTGAGCCAAAACTTGTCAACATGCATGGCTCATCTTTCAGTTGAACTTCTTCCAGAGAAATTTTCCTCACAATGTGACAGGAAAATGCATCCCACATGCAGACGCATGCTGTAGATCTTTTTGTATGAATACCCATACCTCTAGATTTCTTGCATGTTTACCCCTCTCAGCGCGATGCCATCCTTTTCCACTTGAAAAGAGACAATCACTTGGATGTCCTTCCTCGCAGCATATATCAGTTCATCGTCGGTGCACAGCGTACTTTCAAAGGATGGCTGTCTTTCAAACTTCAGAAATGGATTTTATCGGCCTTTATGTTATCCAAAATATTTCTGGATTTGAGGGATGAAGGGTAGATCTGTAGCCTCTCCTTTATTTCTCCAACAGTCCCCACGGATGGCAGGTAGAGTCGCTTAGCAAGGCTGATGAAATCACCCTTTTTTCTTGGTTGGGACAAGATGTTGATTGCCCCGTCTGCAAACGGAATTGCTTTGACAGGCCCACCGTCAAAAGTTAGGAAGATGATATGATGGATATCCCTTGCTTGGAGATTTTGTCTGGTTGCTCACATTTTGTCAACAGGGCTATGCAAGCGAGCTTTGTAAAGTGTAGACAAAACACTCTTCACATCATAGGACAGAAATGCTATCCATCCTTAGACGGAATGGCGATGCTAATTGGTGACGGAAACATACCAAGCTGGTTGTCAGGAGAATATCTGTCTAGTTCTGGGATGATTGTATGACAGACGTAACCAGAAGAACTGGAAGATAGGTCTTTGTCTTTGTTCTGCACACGATCGTTTTTTGGGATAAATCAGATGATATTTATTAAAGATGAACTCGGTTGTAATGCCATTATTGTAAACACTTAACACTGTCGAACAAAATAAGCGGCTTATTTTGTTCGACAGTGTTAAGTGTTTACAATAATTAACCACAGGTTGTCAAAATCTAGTTAAAGGATAAACTGCAACACTGGAAATGGTTTATTTCACCGAACACCGTCGGTTTGAAATTACAAACATCGTACACCGTAAGCTTTGAGATCACCGCAACACTGCAACACCGCGATACCAGTTGTTCTTTACCACAATACCGCATCGAAAAAAGAGTCAAAATCGCAACACCGCAAACCCCCATGTCCCCCTCTCTACGGGACGACCTTCTTGAAGCAGAACAGCACCAATTCCATGTTTGCTACTGTCCACTTGAATCACAACTTCTTTTGAAACATCAAAGTGGGCCGGGGTTTTCACACTCCGTGGACCACACAAATGGAGTGTCCTTCCTAGTTAGAGCACGGATTGGTTCAAGTGTCCCGGCAAGGTCAGGCATGAACCTCCACATGTACTGCACCATGCCACAAAAACGTTTCACACTCGCTACATCGGTAGGGGCAGGCATGTTGCGGATAGCTTTTACTTTTACTTAGTCAATTTCCACACAATGCTTTGTGATTCTGTGACCATGGAAAATAATCTCAGTTAAACCAGTCTGCTGTTTGTCCTCGTTCAGGAAAATGTTCTTCTCAGCACACCTTTTCAAGGTGTTCGTCAGTTTCCGTTGGCTGTCAATTTAAGTTTCCTCCACTGTCTTGCCACACCCAGCTATAACTACATCGTCAACAACACTGAAAACACGCTCTAGACCTCCCAAAGCTTTATCAAGCTTGCGCTGGAAGATCTCGCTTGACAGCTTGAGTCCAAAAGGGAGCCTCTTCCGGCATAGGGTAAAATATGGACTGAACTATTTTTTGGGACCATTTTTAAGGGGGGAGCACACCATTAGTACTAAGGGAGGGGTGGGATGAAGTCTATCAGTACTAAGGGAGGGGTGGAAGGTGGAGTGTTATTAATCAGGGACGGGTGTGAGACGTATTATTACTACGCAGGGAGGGGTGGGAGGTGGTTGTAATAGGAAACACTTCTGGTTAATGGGGGTTTTACTTGATCGTACAAACAATTTTAATTGGTTTTTCGACTGAATTTTTGTATGTCAAAATTCTAGTGCTGTGCCGCGGCGTTTCTTCATTTTTTTGTCATGCGAAAGCGAAACTGCCACGTAAACACTGGACTTTAATTTGTATTGAAAATATAGCGTTTACGATCCTCCACTGTTGAGTTATGCGTGCACCTTTTGAGTCAACTTGTGCACCATCAGTTGCTTCAAGTTTCCCCTTTGTATATACAGTATGTAATTACTAACTTTAACTATGTTCCTTTTGTCATTGATCTTATAAACGAGATCACGGAATTTCTGGTCTTAACTTAGCAGCATTTAGAATATTCAGAAGCGCTATCGTAATTTTAAAGTTTATACCTTTACTATATAAAATCATTAGCGAACGATTTCGAAGAGGAATCCATGTTCTCGAATCGACCAAAAACACTGCTGTACTCTCAAAATGGGAAAGCGCAAATATCGATTTCATCTGTTTCGCAAACAAAGGAGTTAATAACCGACACCAGAAATCGCGACCAGGTATTCCTCGCGACTCCCCTAGGTTTGTTTTCCAATTTGCCTAGGCCGCTGTCGATCAGTTCTTGCGTTGAAACCTATGAAACCTGCGAAGTGGAACTATGGTGGCTACTGTTGCTTGCCGATAATTTCCGTCGGCAAAACGTAGAAGTCCAGTGTTTCGTGGCAGTTTCGCTTTCGCATGACAAAAAAAATGAAGAAACGCCGCAGCACAGCGCTAAAATTTTGACATACAAAAACTCAGTTGAAAAACCAATTAAAATTGTTTGTGCGATCGAGTTAAAGCTCCATTAACCAGTGGTGTTTACCATTACAACCACCTCTCACCCCTCCCTACGTACTATTAGTCCGTCTCAAACCCCTCCCTGAGTAATAACACTCTGCCTCCCACCCCTCCCTCAGTAATAATGGTGTGTTTCCCCCCTCTAAAATGGTCCAAAAAATGGTCCGAAAAATAGTCCAGTCCATATTTTACCCTATGCCGCCTCTTCCACCGGTACTGGCCAAAAGAAGTGATCATTGTGGTGAGTTTCCTGGACTCTTTGTCTAGTTTGACGTGCCAATAAGCTTCTCTCACATCAAGCTTACTGAAAACTTTGGCATCCCTGAGTTTGGGGAGCACATCATCAAGTACCACTAATCTGTAATGTTCACGCTTGAATGCTTCATTTAGTGGTTGCGGGTCGATGCACATGCGTAATTTGCCACTGGGTTTGTGTGCAACAACCATTTGGCTAACCCGCTCAGTTGGTTCTGTCATAGGAACAAGCACACCTTTTTCTACTAGTCGATCCAATTCTTCTTTCACAGCATCTTCAATTGCAAGGGGGGTTTTCCTACATGAAAGTACTTTCCGTTGTGCATTTTCATTGATCCGGAGAGTGGCTACTCCCAGATCACCAAGTTGAGGGGCATTGATCTGAGAAATGAAGCATTCCTCATTTATGGTTATGAAACCAAGTTCCTGAATGGTCTTGAGGCCTAGCAGGTCAGTAAAACCGTTCGGCACCACAATAAACGTTACTTCAGACTGTACACTAGTACGGGGATTCGCAACCCTTAGTATTGTTTCCCCCAGAGGCTTCAGGTTAGTTTTGTTCCACATATTCATACGTACTGTTGTTGGAGACACGTGGTGTTTCCTTACATGTTTCTGACAAATTGTGTTGACATCAGCTGCACTATCGAGTTGAAATCTGACGTCATAGTCATTCACGGTTAAAATAGCACTACTACTGTCTTCCTTATGGCTTACAGCCATGAGCCACTGGTCATCATCATCATCATCATCATCTTGGGACTGCGACACTGCATGTACTTTCTTGCATTTGGACTTAAAATGATTTCGACCCTTGCACTTGTCACATGCTTTTCCCCATGCAGGACATTTCTCTCTGCTCGTAACCACAGAAATTACAGTTAATTTTCATACCCTTATTGTTTTTCATATGTCTGTTGCCACCTTCGGGTTTGTTGCTGCGAAGAACTCTCGGGCCAGGTTTCTGAGTCACTTTGTTCACTTTTGTTGCTGAATTGGAGGGGTTTGAGTTGTCTTCTCTAAACTCCTTAACTTGCTTGGTAGACTGTTCATAAGCTCTACAGACTTTTACAGCTTTCTCGAGGGTCAAATCATCCACCGTCCCTAAGAAGTTACTCTTGAAGTTTTCCGGTTACAGTAAACACAATATTATCTCTCATCATCCTGTCTTTCTCCTGGAAGTTGCAGGACGCTGCTCTCGTTTTGAGCTCCGTAAGGAATATATCAAACGGCTCTTGGTATGGCGTTTTCTAAAACCTGTGCGACTCGAGGACTTCGTTGTCTCTCAGATTACAGTAATTCTCCAAAGCTTCCAGTACCTTATCGGGCTTATGCTTATTTTCGGCATTTTCCCACACGATGTTATCATAAACTTCTAACACTTGAGGGCCCGCACAATTTAAAATGATTGCGGTTTGTACCTTTCCATCCTTCGCGGATACACCAGAAGCGGCTAAGTAGACCTCCATTTGGCGCTTCCATCACTTGTACATTCTCGCATACGTTTCCCGAATTCACCTCTAGCGGGGATGGAATTCTGAACTGTCCGGAGTCTGACGTCGCCATTTGCTTAACTGAATCCCGCCGCTGCCACCATGTTGATTTGCTTTGAAAAACGAGAAATCAGGAGGCGACGAGTGAGCACTTAAAAATAATTTAATAAACAACGGTCGCCATCTTGCACCGAGCACATGGTAGAACTAAGGCCGTAAAGTGTCATGGTTGATTACGTACATGTAGGCATGCAATGCGGACGTACTCTTAATCTCGCTAATACATCAACATACTCTGCTCTCTAATTATAGCTCGAGACTTCTTTCCCACATTTTCTCAAACCTTTC